AATGAATTAGAACCGTATCTCAAAACTAGATTTAATCCCAAAACCACCATCGCAGCAGTACAAAACAGATCGTTAAAGCAAGGATCATCTTCTGTGCAAATCTTTGCTTAAAAAATCGAAGACCTTATTTGCACCCTTAATAACCTTCTGGTGTTACAAAAAAGTGAGCCCTCGAGAGACTTGATCTAGGAACTCAGCGACATAACAACGTTAAATGTGTTGAAGAGGGATTGCAACAAGAGGGGGCAAGGATGATGTGAAGCTAGCCTAAACCTTAAAATACAGAAGGGTGTGTTAGGCTGGGGCGCTTTAAAACCAGTTGCCTTCATTGTTTATAACAGGACTGGCTAGTAAGACCTTCCACAAAAAAATTGAGAGGCTACTTAAAAAGAAAGTGCTTCTATACAATTCTAGAATATGAAAACTTAAACTGTAAACTTAAACTAAGGTAAAACTGTCTTGTCTTACCTTATGCATGCAATGGTACTATTTCAACTATTACCATTACTGTTAACCCTTTCATTACCACGCCCGAGTATACTCGGGCACTCGGGCTACGGAAAGCGCACGCCGTGCACCACGCCCGAGTATTCTCGTTTTCGGATAGTCACTTAGTTTGTTCGCTCTAGCGCCACCATCATCTCTCCAAATGTTATTTGTAATAAGTGCTATCTAACCAGGAGGATATGAACTACAAATTGAGACCAATCTCGATAGAGTCCGCCAAAATCGGTCCTCACAAATCACATGTGAAGCGCATGGGGAATTCCAGTTCGAGGTTAGAGTCCAATTCGTGTATGTGCTTCTGTTTACATCGTGGTATTTTCTATTAAATTGTGCGAATTTTATATCAAATCTCGTCGAAAGTTTTATGCTGAATTCGTACTGTGTTATTTCATCCATTTTACCAAGATGAACGTGCTGAGTGACTCTCAAATCGCAGAAATAGTAACTCAAATTGAGAGCGAGGAGGAGAGTGAAAATGAAACAGCTGACATTATTAGTGATGAGGACTCCGACGATGACATTCCTCTCGCAAATTTAATTGATAATGTAAGTGATACTACTCCTCCCCCAGTGCAGAATATTGCTGAGAATATTCAAAACATAGAAGCTCAATGTGAACCTTCACCTTTTGTCTTCGACCCGCAATCTTTACAGTGGAAAACTTGTGGACATTTCAAGGCAAAACCAGTGCCTTTTTCTGAACTTAATGTTGGTTATCAATCGAACCTAACCAAGGAAAGCCAGGAAATAGACTTTTTCAAAGAAATCATATCTCCTGATATTGTGGAAAAAGTGGCAGAAGAAACAAACAGTTTTTGTGACTTCGTTGGTGAGACCGGTGTTCTCGGAAGGGTTACGGAGTACTCCGCAGTCAATCTATGGAAGAACTTACATGTGAGTGAACTCTACCTTTTCTTTGCTGTATGGTTTTTACAAGCTGTACATGGGCTCAATAATATGTCAGAAGGTTGGTCAACAAAGTCAACTTTACAGGTTCCTATCTTTTCAAAACTAATGTCGCGGAACAGATTTTTTGCCATTCTTCGATTCTTGCATTTTTCATCGAATGTAAATCAGCCTGCTGGTGACAGGATGTATAAAATTCGTTGTGTGTATGATCATGTCAGACATAAGTTTAAGACACTCTTTAAGCCTTCTCAAAATACTTGTATTGATGAGAGTTTGCTTCTTTTTAAAGGGAGACTTTCATTCAAACAATGTATCAAAACTAAGCGAGCGCGTTTCGGTATAAAGTTTTATAAATTTTGTGAAAGCTCCAGTGGTTATATTGTTGATTTCTTTATGTATCTAGGAGCAAAGACTGAGTCTAACAAAGATGAATATAAAATTGGGAAGTCTGGTGCTGTAGTGATGACATTAATGCAACCTTATTTAGATAAAGGCTATAATTTGTTTGTTGACAATTTTTACCTGAGTCCAACACTTTGTAAGGTCCTAAAACTAAAAGGAACCAATCTATGTGGGACAGTCCGACTAAATAGAAAAGGTATGCCTAGCTTTCCAAAATTAGAAAAAGGAGAAATGCAGGCCAAATGTACTGATGATATGATGGTAGTAAAATATATGGATAGAAGAGAAGTGCATGTCCTTACGTCTATCGATAACTTCAGTATGGACGTTGTTTCCAAGAAAAGGAAAAGAGAAGAGGTGATGAAACCTACTTGTATTGTAAACTATAATAAGAATATGGGAGCAGTAGACAAGACAGATATGTTGTTAAGCAGTATTGAAAGTGTACGTAAAACTGTAAAATGGTACAAGAAGGTATTTTTCCATCTCTTAGATTTAGCGATTCTCAATGCCTATGTCTTATACAGGGTGCGGCAAAAGTCCCGGGACGGCTGTTTATTTTTTAAACGGCTACACGTAGAAAAACGAATTTTGGGGGATGTTCTTGGGTCCAAGTAAGCTACATTTTGGCACTCCCCAAAATTTGTTTGGGTGCCCCCCTAGAGGAGGGCGGGGGGCAACTTTTTTTTTTCAAATGGCAACCCCCCCTTTGTGATACCTCATTCGAAAGACAATAAAAAAAGAAAATTTTTGGCGCAAACCGCAGGTCAAAATGTTCATTTTTGACAAAATGGCGGCCGGTCAAAGTTCAAAATGGCGGAAATTTGGCATCTCCGTTGTTTATTGACGGATTGATGTGAAACTCGGAATCCTAGGGTTTTTCGAGATGAGAAAAACGATTCTGGTATTGGTTTTCCAGAAAAGTCAGTCCTTTTCAAAATGGCGGCGGTCAAAATGGCGGCCTGGCGGGAAGTGGATATTTAGGTTGCATATCGTTGGATTTGCATGAAACTTGGTATCTGGAGGTATTTCGGCACGAGAAGAACGAATCTTTCATTGGATATCTGAAATTTTGACAAATTCCAAAATGGCGGCGGAAAAATTGCGGGAAATCAGTTTTACGGCTCTTTACCGATGGATTTGCATGAAATTATTTGATATTTCAAGAATCTAATGAAAGATTCCTTTTTAACGAGCCAAAAACCGCCAGGATATCGAGTTTCATGCAAATCCATCGGTAAAGAGCCGTAAAACTGATTTCCCGCAATTTTTCCGCCGCCATTTTGGAATTTGTCAAAATTTCAGATATCCAATGAAAGATTCGTTCTTCTCGTGCCGAAATACCCCCAGATACCAAGTTTCATGCAAATCCAACGATATGCAACCTAAATATCCACTTCCCGCTCGAGGCCGCCATTTTGACCGCCGCCATTTTGAAAAGGACTGACTTTTCTGGAAAACCAATACCAGAATCGTTTTTCTCATCTCGAAAAACCCTAGGATTCCGAGTTTCACATCAATCCGTCAATAAACAACGGAGATGCCAAATTTCCGCCATTTTGAACTTTGACCGGCCGCCATTTTGTCAAAAATGAACATTTTGACCTGCGGTTTGCGCCAAAAATTTTCTTTTTTTATTATCTTTCGAATGAGGTATCACAAAGGGGGGGTTGCCATTTGAAAAAAAAAAGTTGCCCCCCGCCCTCCCCTAGAGGGGCCCCCAAACAAATTTTGGGGAGTGCCAAAAAGTAGCTTACTTTGACCCAAGAACATCCCCCAAAATTCGTTTTTCTACGTGTAGCCGTTTAAAAGATAAACAGCCGTCCCGGGACTTTTGCCGCACCCTGTATAAGTCTGTCACTAAAAAGAAGATAAGTCGTCATCAATTTAGATTAAATCTTATTGATCAATTAATTGCAGAGCATAAAGTAGATAATGTAAGCTAGAAGGGAGGGAAAAAGCTAACATCTCTTCCAATCAGATTAACCGAGAAACATTTTCCATCCCAAATCCCACCTACCGATAAGAAAAAAAGTCCCACAGGGCAATGTCATGTATGCTCAAATACACAACTCATAGCAAAAAAAAGGAAAGAAAGTAGATATGAATGCAAGGACTGTAAAGTAACTTTATGCATTGAACCCTGCTTTCAAACATATCATAGTCTTGCAAGGTACTGAATTCCCTTTAATTTTACTTTGAATTAGCTGAATTATTCTTTCTTATATATGTTACCATATTCTCAATTTTTTTTATATTATTTTTTCTTTTGGCACAGATGTTTTGTTTATTTGATAGTTGTACAGTATCCACTTGTTATACCTTTAAAATTTTATATTTCCTTGGCAAAAAGTATGACTTGAGTTAATTTTATGTAAATTTTTTGAATTTTTCAAGTTTGACAAGCTTTAAAATAAAATTGAGCCAAATTAAAAAAAAATTGCATTCATTTTTTCACAATCAATATATTAAAGTATATCCTGTCAAAATTTCAAGTCAATTGGGCAATTAGGGAAGGACCGACAGAAGAAAAACCAAATGGTCTACGTGAGCACTGTTTTTCCTTCCCTATCCTGGCGTGAGGGGTGCGCGCGCCGGACTCCTACCCCGGTAATGAAAGGGTTAATATTAGATTATGACTCTTTCTAAAACTGTAAAAGAATTTTACATGTATGATAGCCGAGGGAGTCTTGAGTACCAGAATTGTTAACGCATTAACTGCCGCGGTTTGCCTTGTTGTAGCTGCGGTTGCAGCAAGTTGACGGGCACGAAAAACTTGCAAGAATGATAGATATCGCTCTGAGGTAGCTGTAGCGTCATTTCTCAGATGCGGGTGTAAAGTTCACATGTGCTCTCTCCACTCAACAGTGATGATTTGAGAACGGCTTCCGCAAGTGCCGGTTCCAAGGTACCAGCAAGGCAGTTAACATGTTAAAATAAATATATGAAATAAAAATCCTGTAATACTCAGGATTATAACAAAAATCGCATAAGTTCCTGTGAGTGAACTGATGAATTTTTCTATCGCAACCTGTTCTTTGGATATCCAATAAATCAAGTTTCTATTGTATCCGGAAACCTAATAGGTACATCAAAATAATGAATATAGAGCCATTTCAAAAAATGTGGCACTTACAATGGTAGATACAATGATACATAACAGGAACAGAGGAAATACTCACAGATCATCAGAGGCTTTAAAATCCAAGAAACAAAGAGCTATTTTCAAGCATCGCAAGAATTCAGGCGATAGATTACCATTGATAATCCTGTCCATAGCATCGATATGGAAATGGTAGAATCCAAGGCTGATCTGAATGTCGTCTTTTGCTACTTTCTTTGCTAATTCAGCAAACACAGCCTAGAAATATGTTTCAAATTTAATGATAAATGAAGAGTTTTCACCTCAAAATTTTAGTGAAAATATTTCTGTAGCTCACGTTTCTATTAGTGATTAACGACTGATGTGTTTTTTCAAGATCCAGTTTCATTGCACTGAAAACTGAGAAATTTTGTGCAATCTTTTTCTTCTTATAGTGAGAGTGGCACTGCATAGTTGGGTAAACTTGTTGAAAGAAATTTATTCTTTGCTATTCTCCAACCCAGCAAGTTACTTGATATCCACTATTGGAGATGCATTTTAAAAATCCACACTTTAACAAAATTGGCAACAGTTAAGACATTTTTCAATTTTTTTAACTTGAAAAATATTTATGTTTTTTTACTACATACACAAAAATATACAAATGTTCTTTGAAATTAGAATCTTCAAATTGTTTTGGAAAGATTAACTTCCTCATATTTCAACTTTCAGATTTTGTTTAGTGTAAATTGGTTAAAGAAGCAGCATGAATACAACGTAAATTTTTTGTTTTAACGTAACAATACATGAGTCTTCTTTATTTGTGATTCTCCAAGAGAAAAAAGATCTCACTTGCACGAAGACAAAGTATTCCAGAGAGGTTTTTGGTCAAAATTGTCCTGAGCGCAGCAGCTGAATTGACTAATGTTCACGGACAAGAATGGGTTGAAGGGTGTGAGGTTGCGTTTCAATACAAAATGTTCGAGTCTTAAGAAAAACCAGATCAAAAATGATAGTTCTCTCTCAAAACTAAATTTTTCAACAGCAAGTTTCAAACCTTGAAACTCTGGTTGAACTCTGGTTTTGTTTGAAATTTTCAGGTATTTTTTTTTTGCCAACATGTTTGGCAGAATATTCCTATGACTTGTCTTAATTTTAGTTTTTCGGCAGTGAGGTCCATTCTCCCCTTCGACAATCACAAATAATTTTGAATTACTCTTTATTTCGAATTTCTTTCTGTCATCTGAAAATCGTCGGAGGCTCCTCTATAGTTCCTCACCTTTGCATTATTCAGGAGCTTCACAGAAGTTGAACGTCTAAAAATCGTGATTAAGAATCGCAACAAACATTCAAAGAAAATTTCAGGTTTCTCTTTCTGATTGAAAACGACGGCTAGGGTTGCTATTAAAGCCTTCTGGAAAACTGAATTTTCCGCTTGTTCAACTGCAACGTCTAGCAGGCCGAAGAGCATACGAAAGGATACTAATCCAGGAATTAAAAGACACTCTGAAAACTCTGTCCACAATTCCGCCATCATATTTGTTGTGGTGTCATCTTGGAAGGGTACCATGTGTTTTTTGATGAAGTGAAGGAGAGAGAGATCCATATTCTTTCTTGTCTCTTGGTCAACTAGTTCTTCGAGCAATTTCTTTTCCGAGAGCAGTTTCATGATGCGGAAACTGGAGGTGAAAGACTGCAAGAGAGAAATAATGAGATAGTAAGATTCAGCTTTGAACAAAATCTTTTACAGCCTTGATATGTAACAATCCTTGAATGAGGGACACTTTGCAAGTATTTCGCTTTCAACACTAATGATTGACATCTTTCGCTGGCATTTTAACCAAAACTATCAACTAATTTTTAAAAAAACAGCACTCTCTCTGATTTCTGCCTGACATCTTACAGTGTTAAACTCACTCCCTCCCCTAGTCATGCCAGACCAGACCCTCTCCTCCTTTCTAAAGCATGATGTAATTTAAAAATGGCCCCTGAGCGACATGTTAATACATCATTCCCACACATAAAAATTAAGAGACGAATTGTAATTTTTTTAGTTACAAACTTTTTGATGGATGCCTGAACTCTAAGCGCTAAGGACTGAAAATGAGGGAAATTTTAAGGAAAATAACAGCAAGCCGGACCTAAAATGATGCTTTCAAACAGAGGAAAAACATATTTTCATTGTCAAGCACCAAAAGTTACAAAAATTGATAAGAAAGTTGAACTTGTCAACTGTCAAAATTTGTTGTTTCCCCAAAGAAGGAATGTACCTCCATTCCAAGGTAGCAAATTGGTAGCTATTGGCACAATTTTTTTCTTCACTCGAGAATGACGGCTTGATATCTGTTCAAATTTCACTGATTTCTGATGGTGATTCATGGAAAAATCTGTGAAATTTTCGATAATAATGTCAAATAGTATCAGAGTAAAAATAAAAACTGAAAGGGAATGTGGCGATGTTGAAAGTAGTTATGTTCCCTCTTTCAGAAAACAACGAATTGTACACAAATCTAGAGCACTCAAGTAGCACTGTTTCTAGTGCTCATACAGAGCCCATAAATGTGATTTTTCTATCAGGAAAGAGCAGAAACGGCATTAAAGCTGTTGAAGTCATAAAGAGACTCTTCAAACTTAGGTGACTGCTGTGTGAATAAACTTACCGATACAAAATAGACAAATGGATTTGAGGTGCACCGGTAGCGCATGCATTTAGGGAAGTACTGGAGACACACTGCCACGCAATGCTTCACTAACTTTTCATTGTCTTCTTCCTCTATAGCAGATTTTACATGGTTGACCATCATTTCAAGACAAAGCTCAATCACCTAGTAAAAAAATGAATACGTTCACAAGTTGACTGACAGAAAGCAGATAGGATACACCTGATGATTTCTATTATATTCTTCGAAAGACTCGACTTCATCAAAAACAGTGAACAATTATTCAGCCTGGATCAAACTTTGAGTCTACGCAGCTTGACGTGCAACTTATCAGTTGCGCTGGTACTTTTGAGAAGATTTTAGATACTTGTATTGTTACGTTCTAACCTTCGAAAATTTTGAAGGAAGAGACTATTTTTCCTGTAAGATTATTACGATAGAATCTTATCACCTTGAGTCTTTGCAAGCTTCACAACATTTAGAAAAAGAGTACTTAATCAAAACAATTTAGAAATTCTAAAATCACTGAGGTGCAAAAATTTCGAGGAAACCAGTGCGACACTTGACCAAAGAGAGTAAATCGGCCACTCAGAGATATACTAGAATTGGTCTTTTTTGTAGTGTAGAAAACAATATTGATCCTCTAGATTGATTTAGAGTGTCAATTTCAGCCAAATTTACTGAAACAGTCTACCATTACAGTCTGTCAAAATTACTGAATCAGTCAAGAAAATACAGAGAGAAAAATGAACTAAAGGAGCAAATTATTGATAAAATGATGAATTCTGGTTAAAATGTACAGACCTCGTGCCAAATGGTTATTTCGCTCAGAGTCTCTGGTCCTGAATTGAATATTTGACAAAAATAGGTGACAAAAATCTCACAACCTCTAAAAGTTGTCAGAGGTATTTTGAAATAAGGATGCAAGTAAAATAATTTTCTTTGGATGGATGTCAGTTCTTCATAGTAAGCTGCAGAGCCCTGAAACCAAATTCAAACAATAGCCACGTTAATACTTCGAGTGAGTGGGAAAAACAAAAATCTTAAAACAAGGTAACACTTAAAAACCCAGTCGACACCAAAAGTGCTGATATTATTGTCAGGAGTTTCATTGGAGTCAAATAAATATTTAAGTCCTTGCCATCCAAGGACTCGCTAAATGCAAACTTTCACTTCCATGATCGGTGAATAGTGACCACTTTTCACCATTAGCAGGGATAGATTTCTGAGATCGCAGATGCATTCCAGCAGGGAGCGGAGATATAATTGTAAGGCTATGAGATTCCTCTCTGATTGAATAAAAGCATTGCCTTGGAGAAGGCATTGTATATTTGAAAATGTTTCAATGTAGACAAGATCCAATTAAAAATTTACAACTTGATTGATCAAAGATTATTTACAAAATATTTTGTTATTCCAAAATTTTTTGTGCCTAAAATTTCTTTGCAATTTTTCCTGGCTATGAATAAAAAGAAGAGGCGACAAGAGTCAAATAATAGCTCAAGGTTCTCTCGGAAAGATTTGAATGATTTTCTACAAGTCTGGTGTGGCCATGTTAATACGATGATGGAGGAAAGACTCCTAGAGAAGATGCTTGATTGGGTTCTTCTTGAGAAAGAACAAAGATTTTTAAGAAACCTATACTGAAAAAGAGCAAATTTTGGTTTGCGTCACCTCCAAGCAAGGCACAACAAGATCTATTTAAATCTTAATCAGATTACTTACCAGCTGCGATTCCCAAAATTCGAATGACTTCTCAAGCTCTTGGACAAGACTATCGATTAAAGCGTTGGTTTTAGCATTGAACGCAATCCTATTTTCTTCTTTAGTACATTTTTTGCTCAATGTATGTAAGGCTTTCACACAATTTTCACACACACTGGGCTCCGTTGAATTACTGAAGACGTGGATTATATTCATCAGGAGATTCTCCAAATCCTGAAATGCATCAAAATCAATGGGATTTAAATAAAATGATTATTAAACAGAAAGGCTCAGACCACCTGTACCAGGTTTTTCCCCGGTTATTTTGGGTTGGACATGATCTAGGACCAAAAGCTTAGACTTGTTAAAGTTGAAAGCTTTGACTATATTTCTATCCTATCAACAAGAGCCTGCCAGGCTCCTTAACTACTCAATTTGGAATTCTTAAATTGATTACTCAGGAATACACCTTTTAATCCAGGCCTCTGTGTCAATTTAGTGTTATTCCTGTGTCAATTTAGTGTTTTTCCTGTGTCAATTGAGAGTGCTTTTCCTGCACCACTTTATTCAGTCTGTCCTTCAGCGTTAGTGGTCAATATTTTGGACAGAGATCTGCCTGTTCGCCAATTTTTTACGAGCCGAAAAAGTGTTTCCACAAAAAGTGATGACTTCTCTTTTAAAGTCATCAGGTTTTACGGTCAACCAGTGGGAAGAAAATCTTAAAATGGTAGTGAGAGGAATTTTATGACTGTTTAATTTCAAAGCTACTTGGAACAAATTTTCATCCAAAATGCTAGTCTGCACTTTTCTATTAACCTATCCGTCCATTTTTAGTAAATATTTTACCTCATTATTGAACGGCAAGTCATTGCCACATTGGAAGAATTGGCATATGCCCAGCATGTTCTGTAAAGTAACTTTGTCATCTCTGTGCGTGGAAATGATCGAGCCAAGGCACTTCAAAACTTCATCGGTTACTTTGACAGCAAAATTCCTGTCGTCATTTTCCTGAGACAAAGGACCAATGAGATGTTAATGGTAAATAGTAGGGCTGTGGGAATGTGGTTTTTTTTTATATCGAATCGAATTGAATCAAATATTTTGAAAAAGTTTCGAATTGAATCAAATTGAATAATTTGAAAAAGTTTCTATTTCGAATCAAATCTAATATTTTTAGTTTGTATCTATTTTTGACCAAAACCAACCTCTGTGTTGGTCAAAGTAAAAATCGAATAAATAATTTTTTTTCTTTCTAACATTCAAATTTTGAATAAAGAAATGACTACTACAGATAAAAAGATCAAGAATTGATCAATTCATTTAATTATCAAATGGTTTTGCATACTTTTTGATTTGCTGGGGAAAGAAAAGAAGGAAGAGAAAATTGTTTCTTTTAATTGAGGACGAGCGATAGATTGTACTGTCGCGGAGCTGTAAAACTGCTGCTTACTGTCCGGAAATCCATTTTATTCAGTTTTACTTCACATCAATGCTGATCTTGCAAAGACAGTCCAGCAACATTGTAAAGACAGGGGTGCCGCGCGGGGCGGAGGAGGATAAGTTACAGAGTCAGTACATTCGCCCATTTGTACGCAAGTTTGATGATCTATTTGGTGGAACTCGAGTGGCGCAAAATTTTTAATTGACCCGTCTAATGTGAGTGCCGTGCGCTGAATGAACCAATAAAACGTTGGCCTTTGTTTACCTCACCTCAAAACAAGTAGTTTGAACTGCGCGCCTGTTCGATTTCTTCCTAGTACATCATCTATGTAGCCGAAAGTACCAATATTCCGTCTTTTTTTTTTTAGATATTCTAAGTTATGTCAATGTTGTGGAATAATCCAATTATTCGAGGTTTCTAAGTTCGAGTTCGGATCGAATATCGAAAAAATAATTCAAACTCAAATATTCGATATTTTCCAATATTCGCACGGCTCTAGTAAATAGGGTCTGATGAATTTATGATATACTAACTACATTGCTACAATTTGAGGATTCACAAGCTAAACTTAAGGTGATTCGATGGACGCCATATTTTGTGTCAGAACGGCATGCGATATATCGCATCAATTGGTTCCATTTTTTCAGCTACTCGTCATTTTTCTCCAATTTTGAGATCGCAATTCTGTTGTCAGGAGACTAAAGCACTCACTTACCAATTTTAACAAAGAAATTCAACGTAATAAAGGCGTGGTTTTTTTAGAGAGAAAACATAGCATTCGATACTGATATCGAAACTGCACTCGAATGCGATATTTCCTCTCTAAAAAAACCACGCCTTTATTACGTTGAATTTCTTTGTTAAAATTGGTAAGCGAGTGCTTCAGTCTCCTGACAACAGAATTGCGATCTCAAAATTGGAGAAAAATGACGAGTAGCTGAAAAAGTGGAACCAATTGATGCGATATATCGCACGCCATTCTGACACAAAATATGGCGTCCATCAAATCACCTTAATTAGATAAGTATTTAAGTTTTGTTTTTTTGTGATTTATCGTTAAGTAATTAAGAATAATACTACTTCTGTTCACCACTCTGAAAATTCCTATCACGTCAGCAGCCTTACTTATTTTGAGTTATGCAATAAAGGGAATTTAAATGCAGTTTTTAGCTCTGAAGATGAGACTTGAGTACCTATTCGAATGAAGGTTTGTATTCCCTCTTTGTCAATACATGAAACAGTTCTGCTAAAACAACCCCAATCTCACCAAAGCACTGCAAATTTGTGCAATATTGACACTGATGATCTCCGTTCTTCTTTACTTCATGAAAACCCAATTAATCCAGATGCAATGTAATGGCCTACAGTTGAATGCTACAGCCGAGCAGTTCTGCAGGCAATCTTCCACTTCATTTGAGCACTGAGGGGTATAGATAAAAAAAGATCGAAAGAAATCATAACGCACCTCATCTTCATTATCCTTTCCTGATGATCGGAAGGAAGTAGGTTCATAGGCTTCATGCGCGATGGCTTTCAGAAAAGACGCCGTGAAGTGCTTGAAAGACGGCGTTTCGTTGTCTCGTTTGAAAATCTCGACCAGTGCGTCAACATCGAAAATTTCTTCAGAGATTTCAAAGAAAGAATTCACGAAAATACGCAGAGACTCTATCAGCTCATGGTCCGAAAGACGAGTTTCCTGCAAAAAATAAGTTGGTACTTTATTACCTAAGGTACTTAGTAAGTACTACTTACATTAAATAGAAATGTAGATCTAAAATTTAAAGGTTCAGTAAATACTGAATTGCATGGGCAGTTGATGCACGAATACATAATATTATATATATTTGAATAGGTTGCTGATGAACTGAACATTTGTTATCATTTGAGAGGAGAATAATTGTCCTTGATTCTTTTCACTCTTAGGGGGTTTTCCATATTTCATGGAAGTACATTTGCCAAGGATCCATCGGAGCCATCCCCTTTAACGAGGAGGTCCTCTCATCCATAGGAAGGGAGGAGGGGGGCCTTAGCCAAATCCAGCAATGTCTGGATGTTTTTGGTCTTACCCCCTGAGGTTGATCCATTTGATTAGGAAAGACTCTCCGCCAAATTTCAGTAAAATCGGATGATCTTTACCCTTACTGGTAGAAAGTTCTTTCTGTTGAAACACAATTTTTTTTTTTTTTTCTGGTAAAACTGGTAAAACTAAAATGTGATCTTAATACAAAAGAAACGGTGTTACAGACTGGCAAGACTCGTGACTGCTAGTCTACAATTAGTAGAAAATCAATTGATAATTATGCTAATTAAAGAAAAAACTGAGAACAGATTGGAATATGAATAAAAAAGAGAAGAAACATTGGGGGTCAGGGTTTTTGCTTACGGGTAATAAGGGGTCACTTATCAAGACTTTCTCAGCAAAACGTGCAAGAGAGATAACAGTAGTTTCGGGACTGTTATTTTTTCTTAGAGTCTCAAGAATGAACTTGGCCGTAACTTGGGCAACAGCTTTGTTTTTGTGAAATATGTTGCTATAAAGGTCATTAAGGCGAATTTCTTCTGCGACAGAGGGGTAATTTCTGAAAATAAAGGAACACAGATCAAACCAATGGTTTATGCAAATACAAGTAAAATATAAGACGGATAGCCATGTGCTGTACAGGTTTACAAACTACAAAATTACATTTTCCGTAGCTTTTCAGCCACTCACAACCGAAAAATAGCTATACAGCACATGGCTATTTGTCTTATCTTTTACATATACTTGATTGGTGCTGTTAACCAAATCGTGTTCGGTGAAGTTCAGATAAATGTGTAGGCGGTCTTCATTCAAAGAATAGCCTGATAAATTGGATCACCAAAACATAGACACAGTGAAAAGTAGAATCGCCACATGAATAACAGGCTGCATAGTTACCCCAGCGTTAAAGAACAAGAGTGAAGAAACATTGAGAGAGAGTCGACGATGTTTTTTAGGAAACTTATTTTGTATAAAGCATGAGCACAATGAAGAATTTGCGCAAAAAAATTTTATTGCTGTATTTGAGTGCTTAATGAGTTGCGCTTGCAGAACTTCTCACCATTTTTATCTCCTATGAGAGATTGTAGAAAAAAAGATTTAAAATTTGGAGAAAGTCTATCTCTCAGTGCGTCATCAGACAGCATTTCCCATTTAAACACATTTACTCAAGTAGAATAGGTGATTTGGTCCCTCTGATGATTGTTCATTTTAGAAACCAAGGAGATTCTCATACTCAGTTTACTCAGCGGTTTCTTCTTAAACATGAGCCACAAACTTTCTAACACTTGTTGCTTCTCCATTGATATCACAAAAAATTTAAAGATCATGTCTTGATTTATGAATAAAACGTGTCATTTATTTGAAGAATGATGACTTTACTGACACCTATAGTGGTGAGTGCCTTTTTCCCTAAACCACTTCTTTACACTTCAGCTGAGGAATACGAGAAGATGTTCAGTCAGATTTATATCTTCAACCAACACTTAACGACCAACACATCAACTTCTCGTTGAGAAAGAAGTAAATATCTTATGGTTTGAGGCCAGCTCTTTCAGGGTGGCATTTTTGTGTAATCTATCGTTTTAAAGGTGGAACAAGAACTAAGAAGTGAGGAACTGAGTTCTTGTTCGCCATTGAGATCGGTGCTTATTCAGTGAACCGGTTTGTAGGGCGAAAAAAGATTCTTGAGGTAGAAAGCATGAGGAGTTGAAATTTATGAAAATAGGAGACTTGTAAATAAAGAGAAAGTTTTGATGGCCAAAGAGAAGCAACTTCTTCAATAATTTTCTTTGTTTGATGGATAAGCAATTTTCCCACCACTGTCAACTATTTTACGAGGAAATATTCTGTTAGGAGAAGAAAAAAGAGGCACACATAACATTAAATTACAGTGAAAAATTTAATTTTGGTAATTTCGGCCATTAAAACTCAATAATTGAAAAATTTTTGGTTAAATTCACCATTTTTTGGAATGATAAAATTTAATAGAGTCCACACTTAGTAAGATTACACATTATTAGACTGCGACAGAAGATCCACGATCTTGCTTGTTGCATTTACTTTATACATAAAAGTGACATCAGACGATCTCCTGTTGCAATCTAGAGGTGCATAATTTTATTTGGCGTGGACTCTAATAGAAGTTTACTGAACATTATAGAGTCCGTGCCAAAGTCACTTGACTTTTAAAGAGAAACAGAAGGTTTGGCGACTTCAGTAAACCAAGATGTCATTATGCAACAGTTAAGATGCCTGAATTCTTGTCTTGCTCAACATGCTGGCAAACATGCTTGATCTGAATTCTGACCTCAGCAAGAACATATTGGTCAAAACACCTAAAATGCACCTAAAATTTCATAATTGAGAAATAATTCTTCGTATTCACTTACTTGAAGATAAGAATCAAACATTCCGTTGCTAAACAAATTTCATCAGGGCTCTCAACTGTAAGCTGCCAATTGAGGACTCGAATTTCTCTTTCAGCAAAAGCTTGGATATCTTCAGACTCTGGCCTCTCAAAGATCGTCTTCGACATCTGTAAAAATAAAGGAGAACAAAATGAAAACTAAAAATGCAAGCGCGCTTCTTTCACAATTTCCCCTCTAGAATATTTAACACTCATGCTAATCTGTCACACCCTAGGGATGTTGAGTGCATCCTTAATGGAGTTAAGTGTTAAATTAGGACTTAAAGCAAACCATTAAAAACCTATTGCAAAGCTCGAAAGAAACTCTTGAAAGGATTTCTCCTGAAAGATAGACATGGAAAAAAAGTTTACATTGACATTTTTCTTAATTTTCAGAACTGATTGTTCATGATAAACGCTAAATAAAGTGAGATAAATGCAACAAAAAAAATTAAGAATGTACGTAAAATTATTACATAAATTGACAAAAATAAAGTGATCAAAAACTTAAAAAGTGGAATCTGGTACTTTCGCGTGATAGAATCAAAAAGGGTATCTTGGGTCACAAGTCTTGACAGTCTTTTAAGAATTCAATGTCCCTAAGATTTTGATTTCTCTAACTTTTATTGACAGTCATGAAACGGGAAGACGGTTGACTGGGCTGATATAAGGTGCGCTGGGCAAGCCTCACCTCAGAGGGTCAGTCGGTGAGGACACGCAACAAAAAGAGACGAAACGAGCGAGTACGGGATAGAAACAACAATTTATTGATCAACACAACAGTAAAAAGGCACAGTCCGAAATACACGAAAATAAAGAAAACTCGACATGAGGCAAAAGACTAGCGAAAAGTAAGAGAACCGAAGGGAAACGGAGGGAACCTTGATCGACGGCCAGTGACGCGGGGAGACAAGCGAAGACTAAAGCTCAAGATGGCGGGCAGCCGCGGTCACTGGTCGTGAACCAAGGTCCAGGGGAGGGGAGTGTTACGCAACAGCCAAGCGCATCCCCGCGAGGATACGAATGACTGCAGCAGACCGTCACAGTCAATGCTACTGAATATGATTGTTTCATAACTGGAAAAAAAAAAAAAAAAAAAAAAAACCTGAGCAGACCCTTGATTTTTTAAAGAGATTATGCCTCTTAAAATTTTATTGAATAGAGCACTGGCAAAATTTTTTTAGGGAACTCACTTTTTTTAAACAGGTTCAAAGTTACTCACTCTTGATTCAATCAAAATTTGAACGGTGAAAATATATTTATAGGGAGTGAATTAAAAGCATGTATGTAAGTAAAAAAAAAGCTCAAGTGGATTTTTTGTACTTAATAAATAAGAAGCAGACTTTTTTGTAACTAGTTCAGAGTTGAGTGATTACCAAGTTTTGATACATGTAGGAAACCAGCGAAATTGAAAATTTACCTCTAGACATAGAATTCTGATCCTTTTAGTTTTGGAGAAAGCACTCCATGAAATGTAGCGAAAGTAAAGAGGTTGTAAGATCATTTCAGGGTACTTAGACATCCAATTCTTCAAAGCTGATAGCGCTTTCATTTTGATACCAAATTCAACATCCCTAAAAATGACAAGAAATAAAAAAATTAACTTTTGCTGGATCGATGGCTGACATTGGACTTTTAAAAATAGTTTTCGTTTATTTTGAGGTGATTGGCCTAGTAAAGTAAAACTTGCAGGTAGCCGAACGCATCTGGACTAGCCAAATCCTCTAATATAAGCTGGCCCTGATAAAAGCAGGATTCAATGGTTTTCAGTCAAAACGAGAGAAAATATTAGGTTTTTAAAGGGCCAACCGTTTATTCTCTAAAAGGTAAGCATAACTGTGCCCTCCTTTCTCCTGCAGGAACTGAATAATTTTAAAATGCTCGCATCTTTAACCGGTTAGATATTATGTTACATGCCTGATTGGGTATGCTCAGACCTTAAATCAACAAAGATCTTTTCTTTCTCCTCGGACTTACTTAGAAGCTTGGCAAATTTTAAATAATATTTTTACTGATGAGGCACTGTTGAGGAATCGATTTGTGTGCTGCCAAATAACGGAATGGTAGTTCTGTTGTTTTGATTCCTTGGAATAACCACTGACTATAAAAAAGTGTAGGTTATGAAACTTGCCTAGAATTTTGGGAGAAAATTCTGCTCACATCGGTTGGCAACCATAAAGTTACCACAATTAATGGGGGTTCCAATTTAAGCGGTTTTGATACATCATCACCATCGAACAGATAATGGTAGCAGGTTACTATATTTATCATTTGTCAACTAATTAATTTCCTTCAGTGATGCAAGCATGTCTCAGAGTGAAAGTTGACACAGAACAAAAAACTGTTATCATTCTTGTTTACAGAAAGGTCTAGCATTTTTGTTTCTGAAAATTCAATATTGTAATAAAAAAAATTCAGCACCAAACAGAAAGATCAAAATCTCTTAATTCACCTTAAGAGATGTTGATCTTCCTATTTGATCTTTGAGGAGACTTGGTAACAGAGCAAATTGAAACTTATGTTTTTCTAGTTCCACCACAGACCCACACTTTGAAAATCAGTATAAAAAGGACTTTATGTGAAAATTACTTGTAAGCAAGGTGAAAACAAGCCTTCAACAGAGTTTGGAAGATTCTCAAAGCTATCCCACCCGGAGGTGTAGTTTCTTGGTTTTCATCATCCCCTTCAAGTTCAGGATTACCGAGCTCATCGTGCGCAACAATCATGGCATCCATAATTTTAAGACCTGTAAGGGAAATGAAAAGAGAAACATGTTTAAGCTAAAGGCATTGGAAAAAAAATTCATCAAACTAGAAAACTATCATGTGGCTCGACTGAGCCAGTGCAACGTGCCCTAACTTTGTACTGGTGAGGTGAGGGGTGGCAAAAAGCACTAACACAAAAATATAAGAGCAAAGACTAAGCCCTGGCGAAAAAAGATGTAAAGCTGGCTGAAACCTGGGCTCCAAGAGGTACAAACTTTGACTGAATACTGAGTAGGGGGCTGATTATTGAAATTGATAGACAAAGAAGACAAACTGAAGATAAAGCGAGAATTTTAAGAGAATATTCCTTAGAGTCTAAATTGAACCACATCCAGAACCCAAACTTTGAAGTTAAAGAAGCTAGAGCCGAAATCTTTGGATCGCAGGAACCAGATCCCATACTGATTCAAAAATGTCTTTTAGTTCATAGACAAGATCCCAGGTATTGGTTTGCTGTCTTTAAAAATTATTCATTCTCTTAAGTCAAGGCCATTTGTACATTTTTTTGACATTTTCTTCTCATTGAACATTTTGGACTTCATACCATCACAAGTTATTGCGAGTGTGGAGAGAGGATGAAGTACTTTTGGAATGTTCATAGCGGAGAGAGGTGAAAAAAATTTCTCAAAAATTGATACAGACCTAAAAAAACGAAAATAACGATATAAGGTAGATAAATACTTTACCAAAAATGGCTGATGCATAACGACTACATTTCTCGTTACGCTCCATCAATTTATTAGTGATGATTGTGACAGTATCCCAAAAATTTGCATCTTGCAAGAGTTCAATGGGAATATCTTTGAAACAAAGAATGAGAAAGATCTCCAGACGGGCGCTGAAGTGTCTATCTAGGATTGGACAGTTTTTTTCAGCCTACGAAAAGACAAGAGGTAGATATATAAAATACTGATAACAGGAAATCAGCGTCCAATAATAGAAGGAACTGAAGAGGTGATTTGGTGATATATAATACTTCCAAAGCTATTCACGGTAAAGAGCTGTGGTTCTTTTTTTTATTTTTAACCTTGAGTTATTTCTTAAGGATTTTTTGGGACAGAGTTCTCTTTATAAAAAACCCTTTAGAATAGAGCTCTTTATGAGGGTTCCCTTACAGTGGCACCATTCACATGATCCCTCTTGATTGTAAAAAGAACAGGCCTTCGGTCAACATATTCAGGGAAAAGGCAAGAGAAATATTTTGGCAGTTTCACATTATCTCATAGTAGGGCTCTTGAATTTCCAAATGCTTCAAGACTTTCTTGTGAAAAAATTCAAAGAATTCTCGGCACATGTTAGTCTCAGATTTCTTCATTAACATTAGCGGTTTTCATATCTTTAATGGAGGACTTTCTAAAATTGCTGTTTTAAAAAGTAGGTAGACAGTTTCATTCNGTTGCATCCAGCGTATTTGAAGGGGTTTTTTTGTCCGCTTCGCTTCGCTTCGCCTTTGAAAATCGCCGCTTCGCGGACCCCTAATTAGCGGTTTTCATATCTTTAATGGAGGACTTTCTAAAATTGCTGTTTTAAAAAGTAGGTAGACAGTTTCATTCCACGCAATATTTTAAATTGAGACAAAAAATACCTAAAAAAGAAACAATAAGAATGTTTGCAACTTACAGCAGGCAATTCTGACTGAAGAGAAATCAATGTTTCAGAGACGGTATTATTAAATGCTATTCTGGCACAACTAAACATAAGTTCATAAAAAGAATTTCGGCATCTCTGAGGATCGGTCGAGTGAGAATCTCTCCAATTATTTGCTAGAGTCTAAAAAAAAGCACAAAACAGAAAATAGGTAGAGAGTTTGGTCACTGACATAATCTACATATGATGAGAGAGAGTTATGATTACTAAATGCTAATTGTAAATAATTTAAACTTTAAAACTACACCCATCTGTGTTGTTTACTTCCACTCAAGCATAATGGGAAGTTCCTTAATCTTCATTAAAGTAAAGGAAAGAATATTTATGGCCAGATCTGTGAAAAAAGACCCAATTTTCCAGGAGAAAATGTTTCTTGCAGACTTTTAAACCGCAAATGCCTAAAACCTGGGACATTTTGCCTAGGAGCTTTAGGACTACCTAATATCTCCTTTAATTTTTGAGATTTTAGGGTCAAACTTCCCCCAAAATTTCCCGATTTTTTTCCTTCATGCAATTACAGAAAGTTGGGGGAAATTTTCTACCAGAAGATAAGGTTCCTTTTTACAGATCCGCTCACATTTCTGGCTTATTTGATCGCCAAAAGCAACTCCAGAGAAAATGATACGACTGTTATATTAGATTATGTCTGTAAGCATTAATGGACATTATGAGCTAGCTCTTGAAAACACTTTAAAATACTACCTGTATCTTCTGTCAAATTCACATGGAAGATCGACAAAATGTGCCTTGTTACCAAAAGCTCTCTGTATTAAATATATTAATTTTCATACAGATGAGCAAGCACTACAAAGATGCTTCATTCTTGATTTTAACATCAAAAGACACCAAAGATATTATTTTTATATTAAAAGACAGACAATCAGAAGTTTCAAACATAACTTTGCTGCACAAATGCAACCTTGCAACCCTATTTCAATATCTAACGTGAAACTTTGATGCACGACCTTTAAAAATTCTATTTAAAGTACTTAAAAGGCTAATTGTGCTCAAAACAAATTTTTTGATTTTCCTATTTCCGATTGTAAAGATTACTTTTTTTTTTGGTCGTCAACTTCATAGGAGAAGTTTTTTAGGATTGGGCCAGGGTGGCTGCCGCTACCTAGAATTACTTGATCAGTCAACGTATCAGAGTCTTGCTGATCTGTTGAAATCGATTGATAAAACCACAAAAATCTATGACACATACCGAAACACGACAGGAGCCCTCAACCAAGTCTGCATAAATGCCTTGCTCCATGACAAAGTCACTGGACCTGAAAGAGATCATACTGATTAAAAAAAGTTTGTGGGAGAACTTCTCGTGAAAGGACAGTCAGAACTCTCAAAACACCTTTGACAGATAATGGGCCTGTTGCAAACTTTTGCTATATCAAAACTAAGATTTGTTTCTTATAGATAATGCCTCAAAAATCACGATGAGCGCATTGGCAAAGTCTGAAATGCACTCATAACTTCACAATCTGCGTAAGAAATTTGCGGTTTTTTGAGCTTCCCGCTTCAAAAACGATACTACGGCACAGGTGAACATTTTGTTAGAGGAGGCGTTCCATCGTCGGCAATATTCATCATGGCCGACGCCAATTCGCCAAAACACGTATGATGAGACGAGATAACACCTGAACAGCATTAGACCAGATAACAATCGGCGTGTTTACGTTCATATTTTCCTCGCCCGCCTTGATTGACCCTGAACTCACCTCGACTTACGCGCGGAACTGCGGAAGCGTCGGCCATGATGAACATTGCCGACGATAGAACGACTCCTCTAACAAAATGTTCACCTGTGCCGTAGTATCATTTTTGAAGCGGGAAGCTCAAAAAAAATGCAAATTTCTTACGCAGATTGTGAAGTTATGAGTGCGTTTCAGACTTTGCCGATGCGCCCATCGTGATTTTTGAGGCATCATCTGTAGGAAACAACTCTTATATTTGCTCTAGCAAAAGTTTGCAACAGGCCCATTGTTAAGGGGTACAAAGGGTTATATGGGCGTTAGAAGAGCTGTCATGTTTCAGGTTACCAGAAATTCTAAGAACCCAAAACTGCTAGGCCATATTAGTGAGTACCTTTTACTTGATGAAGGGTGATCCCTGATCCATGATCATATTAACCAAAATTCACCTTCACTACATACATTTTGAAAAATATATAAGTTTTTCAATACGTTCATGTAATGCACCCAGCTCTCACAAAAATACAGGTGTGTATAGTCTCTTTCTATAGGGGCACCCACTGGCGAACTAGACGCACGTCTTGAGTGGCGAGTAGCCTTTCGGCCGTGTTCGGGTATTTCTGTAGCCAATCAGGTTACAACTCGCTGCCCGTAATTCACTCGAAGTGGGATCGGATCCTACTTTTCAGGTCAAGAAGCGCATGCAGCGAGGTGTGGCCCTTTAAGCTTTTCTTTGGTGCATAACTGTTTCCTCAACAGAACGCAATTCCTACCTAAGATAGATAACTTCTCCTTAAAATAAAATATGTGTGTACATATCATTATGCCTTGCAGGGTGCTGTGGTTTTCAACCGATGAGAGGAACAATGAAGCAATGTTACAACTCTGAAAAAATGAGTGTTGTTGTAACCTACTGTTGCAGTATGAAAAAGCTATAACCGCTGCTACGCTACTGACCACTTCGCTTATTGCATATTGATACCCTAGCAAAAATATTACCTTACGGTGAGCTAACCATCACCTTGCAGCAAGGTATCAGCCTTGCCACCCTCTTCGAGTCCTATCCGAGCTGTCGCTGGGTCAGTTCGTGGAACTTAACGACTGGGAATAATTGTGCATGGCAACGTTGGAGACGAAAATCAAACCCAACACGGGGTATTTTCCAATGCTGTGTCGCCTTTTTCGCACCCTGCGTCTGGATTTGGGTCTACAGTGTTGTCATACGGTTTTATTCCCGGTCGTCGAGTTCCTTGAACTGGCTTAGCGGGGGCTCAGAGAGGAAGACAAGCAGTGGCTCTGTCCATAGTCATAGGATGTATAAGACCTTTGTGAACTCAATCTCTCTTCTCTCCTGTTGACATTGAGATGGTTGAGATCGTACCATATCAGAATTGGGTAAAGCCTTAATGGTGAAATCTAACTTCCATTTCGTTTCTTTCGATTTCAATAGAACTTGTATGAGAAAAGCTGGCAGTTGTTGACTTCCAGTGTCTAGCGTAGAGGATGGATACATCCGCAGAGGTTGGTACAAATTTCAGGGGTCTAGGCACAGCAGCAACAGTGCAGCGCTATCGCCCTTGGTCAATCTTCGACTGCTACTGGTCAGCAACATTGCAGTTGCCTGCGAACGGAAAGTAACAACTGCCAACGTACCTCTCGCAAGATCTGGAGTGAATGAAGAAATACTAGCTCGCAATAAATCAAAGTGCACCTGGTATTTAGTCTGTGAACCCGAGAGATTTGCACAAAAACTTGTCTAAGATGTGTTAATCAAGTTTCCGTGCAACTTTTCATCTTCTAAGTGCAGTCTACGACCGTAGGTGGCCAGGCCGTGGGAATGTTGTTCGACGTCATGCGAGAGATGGGATGATAAATTTGATTGAACTGAGCTAAGTACAAAGCAAACTAGAGAAACAGTCTACCCACCTTCCTTAGCAGCGAGCACAAAATCAATGTAGATCAAATTCAACCAACGTGGACGTGATGAGAAAGGAAAGTGCCGTAAAAAAAATTTGAAAATAAGACCGGCGAAGAAGCGAAGAAGGATTGCGGAAATGGCGGAAAAACGCGGGAGTTTCGATAAGTTCGAACTGGGAACTAGAGTGTTCGAACCGGAAAAGGAAGTTGTGATTTCATCTGATGGAATTTGGAATTTGGACTATCAAATATCAATGTCAATAAAATTGTAACTAACCTCTAAAGTTCGAATTGCGGAGAAGCTCCCGGCTGCCGAACTTTTAGACTTTTACTTTTTGACAAAATTCCGGGGCATTATCCTCGGCTGTGTAGCACTCACTTCTCGGGTTTATTCGTAGGTGCTTTGCGTGTCATCTCTTCTCCAGATTTTGTGCATTTTCTCCCCACAGTCAAGTGCCTGGGTAATGAAGTGTTGGCTGTAAACAGAAGAATTCTTACTGAAGCCTGCATTTTTTCACGATGTCCTCTACTGAGGTAAGGGAATAGCGTTCCAAATAGTTTTTGGGCTGGAATGCGCAGCTTGTACAGTAGTTTTTCTCCAAAATCGAGAAGGCACCTAAGTCGTACGGCTTATGCACTGCAGCCATAGAAACATCTCTTCAGATGGACGTATTTCTGCCAAACGGAACTGCAGACGAGTGGGAAAGATGGGGTGTGCTCTAGGAAGCTGCTTAAGAAACAATGTTAAAGTGGGCGAGATTGCCTTTGAATAAATGAAAAAGTAGTATTTTATATTCTGTCCAGCGGAACTGTCTGGATGCTGGATGCTGCCAGCTGGATGCCGCACGCATGAAGTGTGGGCATGGCGAAAGAGTGTTGTGGACGGGGCTGATGAGTTAATGCTGACAAAGAGCAACAACAGAGATGGCTTTGTAGCCGCTGATGTCACTGTCCCTTTATAATTCCCATTTATTCTTACGGCCCTCGTCTAAAGAGCACACCCCTTCTTTCCTACCTGTCCCTGGTTCTATTCAGCAGATATACATTCAGATATCAGATGATTTGTCAATCAACAAGGTTATGGATTACCATCTAAATATCAAGACAAATAAAGAATTTTTATTTGGTCGGAGAAAGTTCCCCTCATTGATCGCAGTATCATATCATCACAGCATCTTATCTCATCCTCTGATAAGGAGGACAGCTTAAAAAATGATGATGTCAAGCTGCCCGCTTTCGCTGCAAAGGTTAAAAACCAATACTCAGAGTAATCCCGACATTTCTTAGCTCTGAGACTGTTACATTCATTTGTGGAATAAGTCACTTCCAAAAATGTAAAATTTTAAGTTACTTACCAGCATACAAAAGAAAAAAATCCAAAACCTCTGTACGGCAATGCTCTTGCAGAGCTAGGCACCCTGGCCCATTCTGCAAGCCTCATTCCATCATTCTGTATGCTTGAATATCTCCAGCAGGAATGTGTTTACTTTAGGGAACTTTTAATCAACAAAATTACTACAAAAGTGATTTGTGATAATACAATGTGTAGTTTTACTCCAACCAATTAAAGTTTCTGATGTTATCTTAAAAATAGCAATCGTAAAGTCACGGATTACATGCCCATTTTAGTACTTTAAGGCAACATAACCATCTCATCAGTTATTTGTGACTCTATTGAGGCTGTCTCCTTTTCTCTCATTTCCTGCTAAGTAATTATCATCTTTCAGTTTATTTTCGCTCTTAAACTTAATTGAAAATCCATCTTAGCAATGAATTTTTGTGACTCAAACTTTGCTCCTAACCTGTTGCAAGTTTAATCTGATGAAAGGAATTAGTGGGAAGGAATTCATCTCTCCTTTAATTTGACTGCTCACTTCAATGAGTTTAATAATGCCTGAAAATGTGCCGCACGTAATTTTCACACGTTCTGCTTTCTTTGTTTTCAGGCTTTTAGTAATGGAGAAAATATGGCACAAAACAAAGACGCAGAGGCAATGATAGTGGAAGATGAAAATAATCTATCACAGAAGGAAAATAACGCAGCACAGAATGAAAATTCTGTGACCAAGAATGGCACTAACAACCCTCATGCTTCTACAGCACCTGCTTGTAGTGCTAAAAAAAAGAAAAAAATGAAGAGGAAATTTCCGAATGAAGCTACTGGTATGTTTTTTTTTTTGTTTTTTCATTAAGATAAAGAAAATAAGTAGATATATTAGTACTTTGTACATCCCATGTTTTCCCCCTTTTTTACTTCCTAGTGCCCAGGGCTCCACCGCTACTGCTTATGTACATCTTCGAGAATGACTTTAGTATGAAAATACTTTATCACAAAATGTTGATCAGTTTGATAGCCCAGTGTATTTTGGCTGCATGAGAGCCATAGAGAAAAAAAGGAGGTGTTTGCATCTTGAGGTTTGTTTACCCTGTGATGTAGGTCGGTACAACCTGGCCAGCGAAATCCGGAATTCGAAATATGAAAAACGGATTATAATGTCCTATTTTTTTGCTTAAATCAACTCATGATATAATTTCAAGCACTTTTTATAGAATGACTTTTTTTCATAAATCACACCATTTCCAAGAAAATCGATGATAAGTAAACATCACTGTACCGACCTACGTCATCAAAAAAATTCCGAGATGCCCGAAATGCAAACACCTCCTTTTTTTTCTCTATGTATGAGAGCCATCTTTAAGGTCTTACATATAACAAGACAAAAAAGGCATTAACAAACACAATAGTAAAAATTACATAGTTTTTTTTGTTTTTTTTTTTACAAGAGAGCAGAGATGTGATCAGGGAAATCATGATTGAAATGCAAATTTGAAATGACTAATCGTGACCTAAACAACCAGGAGTTTCAAACACCCAGCAATGGTAAACAATAGATAATATGAGGTACGAGGTCTGTTAGATTAGAAACCAGATTTTGGTGATAACTAGCCGAGTGTGCATCCGAATTAGGTTTCCTTGGACTTTCCTGATAGCTGATAACATATTGAAGAATGCTAGATTCACAGATTTTGCTTATTTTGATCAGTGTTTATTCTGTGTCATCTTGAGTACGAGTAAGTCAGGTGCATTCTACGATTTTCATCATGCAATCAGTGACAGAGCAAAGATTTAACATTAAACTTCTTTTTAAACTCGGTATACCTTGTACCGAAACTTTTGGTATGCGAAGGAAAGTTCACCAAGATCATTGTATGAGTTGTTCTCACTATTTTGAATGGGTTAAACGATTCAAAACTGGTCAGGAGTTTGTCGAAGATGAGGAGCACAGGAATCGACCATCAACGGCAACTGACATTTGTCACGTGGAAGAAGTGCGGACAAAAGTGGACAAAAATGGTCGTTTCGAGCTTGCTGAAGAGTGTAATATTTCTGAAGGCTCTATACATACAATTTTGATAGAATATGTAGACATGCATCGAGTTTCAGATACATTTGCCCCTTGACTGTTGTCCGTTGAACAAAAATACGACCAAACGTCAATTTCCCTTTAGCTGCTTGAACGTTTTAACAATGATCCTAAATTTTTGGATAGGATAATTTTCGGGGACAATACTTGTGTGTACGGCTACGATATGGAGACAAAACTCCAATCATCCCTGTTGGTTGAAAAATGTAGTGCAAGACCGAAAAAAGAGAGACAAGTTCTATTAAACATAAAAATCGCAGAACACCCATGAGGTTGCCTTACTCCAAGCCACATTCTAACGAAGCTAATTGGGATTTTTCAAATTTGTGAACGTAACGTTCTTAAGTATATTTCCAGCTATCAGGAAAGTTCAGGAAAACCTAATTCGGACGCATTGTGGGCTAGTTATCACCATAATCCGGTTTCTAATCTAACAGACCTCGTATTAAGTATGTAGTTGCCAAATCACGAAGTAAATCTATAAAACCTGGTGATTGATGAACCAAAAAATCGAGCTACAAGCCAAAAATAAATTAAATGGTCGAAATTAAGCGGTCGAAACGTTTACTTTGTTTCTTGTAAGTTTTTTATTATTTCTCATCTCTATGTAGTTTGAAATATTACTTGTTTAATTTATTTTTGGCTTGCAGCTCGATTTTTTTGTTAATCAATCACCGTGTTCTATGTAGGTTAGCCAGCCAAATTTCGCATTAAAATGTAAATCCATAACTGGTGCGGCTGCTGCAATCTAATCTGTTTCTGTCCATGTTAAAAGTGTCTATTTATTATTCTTATTTGATTTTAGGAGTTGCTGCTGCTATGAAACGGCCAAAACTGTCACTAATAACAGGGATAACAGGGTTGGTAACACCTGCTTCAAAGTTGAATGAATTTTATCCTGGGCTGAAGTATGAAGTCTCGAACCAAAAAGGCCCCTCACATAATCCAATATTCACATGCACAGTAAAGGTAATCCCAAACTATGTTTTAAATCCTATCACCCCTCTTTCTTCCTTAAAGCTCTCTTATTTACAGAAATTTTAATTTGCCACTGTACCACATTTTAACTGGCTAAACAATCAACCAGGAATTTGCATTGATTTCCAAAAGAGGGAAGCATCCCTCTTTGCATTAAAAGTGTGAATCTGGATAAACAGTATGCAAAGAAAACCAAAGGGCACAAGATAAAAGAGGATAAAAATAGAGAGTCACTTCAGATTGAAATCGAGAAGAAGGAAAAAATATATATTCAGCTCAGTTTTTGTTTTGACAGTATAATTTCAAAATTTGATTTCCAAACGATTGGCTCAGCAGGACATGGGACTGTTGCAAAGAGGTTGTTCTAAGAAAAATAGTTTTGCCTCCTCTTGGCCCCTAGCCTTGAACCAAATTTTGTCCATATGTTGTACTAATTCTACAAAATATTTGTACAACTTTCAGCCCCTCTCAGAATGTTTGGAGGGAGAGGCGGAGTAAACTTTAAAAATTTATATACCTGGAATGGATTGAGTTCAAGTGTTCTAGCTCTAGAAGCCAGAGATGGAAGTGAAAAACTTTAACCGAGCTACTTTAAACTTAACTTTAACTTTAACTTTAAACTGTCCTATTTACCGAGACTTCTTTTTATCTAAAAGTTTATTATTATCTAGTCTATCTTTAGTTTATTATTTAAATATGGCTTTCATTGACTACAGTAAGGCCTTCAAGTCCCTCGAACATGGAAGCATATGGTCTCACCTCCAAGAAATGGATACAGAATTATATCTGGTAAGAGTTTTACAGAACATTTATATCAACAGCATAGCTTTAATCGCACTAGAGAAGAAAGGGAGGAAATTCAGAATCGCAAAAGGTGTCAAACAAGGCTGCCTGTTGTCCTCTACCTTATTTAATGCAGTACTAGAGTCTATATTCAGAGAAATGAAGTGGGAGAGAGAAGGCATTGTCATGATTGGAAGACGGTCAACAAATCTTCGGTTTGCCGACAAAGTAGTACTTACAGCCAAAAGTGCCTAAGACCGAAATATAATGCTAGCAGACCTTGCATATGCCAGCCTGAAGCATGGCTTGGACATGAATATGATCAAAACTAATGACTAATGGCAATAGAAGACCCATCAGCCTAAATGGCATTACACTAGAATATGTGGATAAATTTTGTGATTTTTGTCAACTGATATCATTCACTCTCAGAACCTCAAAAGAGGTTGACAGAAGAATTAAGATTCGATGAAAGAAATTCTGGGCTCTTAAAGACTTAGTAGAAGGAAATTTTTCCAGAAGAATGAAAGGTGCAGTGGTCGACGAATGTCTGATGCCTGCACTGCTTTATGGCTGCCAGACATGGACGATAACCAAAGCTTGCTACAAGAAACTGGATTGTACACAAATGCAAATTTTGTGCGTATGCAGAGTTAGAAGAAGCAACAAGATTAGTAACAGAGATATCAGGGAACGTCCAGGATGTATCATCAAGGCATCAGACAGAACAAAGCAACTGAAATGGAACACAGCTGGTCATGTGGCAAGAATGAAGGACGACAGATGGGCGAAGATCACAACAGAATGGCGACCAGAAGGGAAAAGGAAACAGGGAAGACAGATAAGTAGATGGACGGACGAAATCGAAGCGAAGGCAGGAGCAGACTGGTGGACGAAGGCAAGAGACAACGAACTCTGGCTTCAAATGTCCGGAACTCAAATCCTTCAAACCTGAACTCCATATCCTCCCACAGGGAGAGGCCAGGCCCGAAAGAGTGCAATATGGCTATTCTAATTCTATTTAAATGTAACATTTATTTATTTAGGAGCCTCATGTTTCCTGTTTTGCTAAAATTAATCTTGTATCTTTGCAGGTAAACGATCAAACATTCACTGGCACCGGAAAGTCCAAAAAACAAGCAAAGCACAATGCAGCCCAAAATGCTCTCAAAGGCTTGAATATCCCCACGTATCTTGATCAGGAAGTCATGGCTGATCAGCTGACAAATGGCAACTCAACTGCTCCTCGATCAGCACCTTTGTTCAGCTCATTTAGCAGCCCCAATGAGTCTGGTAAGATGGTAGTCTGAACCAAGATTGAAAATCTGCCTAATCGCACATGGCAATTTTCAACTGACAGATATAGATTTAACACTCTAAGTACAAGAGAAGCACATAATTAACAACTAAGTTTTGGCTGTAGCTCTCAAAAATTGAAAATACTTAGAGTTCACATTAAGAATATATGATACTGTTTATGCCTGCAGATAACCTGCACACACAGATAACCCGCACCCCAGGTGTTGAGAGGGTCAAAAAAAAATTCATGCATAACCCACACGCGCCCATGGTGGTCTGTTTCGTTTGCATCATCAAGTAGTGCCTGATAGATATGCAATTTCCATGAGTTTCACAGATAACCTGCACCATGATTTTCGAGCGTTGAAATCAGGAAAAAAGATGTGGGTTATCTCCGGGCGTGTAGGGTAGTTGATAAGTTTCCTGTGCTGTTATTCTGTAATTTCCACTGGAGCTCTTGCCTGTGTCGACAATTTGCGATTGAAGCATTTTTTGTTTCAAACACAATGGTGCCTCTAGTTTTCTGTGGAACGAACTCTAAAGCTCAAACAAAGCTATGATATTGATGATATGCTATTGATGGCTCTATGCTTACTCCATGTTCAGAGTCCACCTCCGTCACCAGGCCCTATTTTTGACTAGATGTCAAATTTTCCATGCTTAGATCGGAAACAAATACATTAACAGGGTTCCAGCTCAAGAGCCCAAACAAAGTGGTAACCCTGCTTATGTATTTGCTCCCCATCTGTGCCTAGAGAATTTGACCACATATAGAGGTGGACGCTCCATTACAGTCTCAACTTTGAGGGTTTTTTTGATCACAGAAGTTCGTTTTAGAAAAAGTCAGTGGCACTCTCATTTTTCTCGATATAAATTTCACATGAGATAGTACTTGAATTGCAAATCCCTAACTCTTGCAAGAGTTCCATCACGATTCAGACCGACATTTGAATTGGTGCAATGAGGCTCTAATCCTTTTTGTGATCTGATGAGATCGTGCAAGTGAATCTGTGGGAATGAAAACGCAACTACTTTGAAAAATCAAAATCTTGTAGAGGCTCAAAATACTTCACAGTAGGTGCAAAAGTTGGCCTAAGAAAAAGTCTTTTTCTTTTGATGTTCCGAAAAAATGTTTCAGTTGTTTATATGCTTTATTCATTTTCCAAAGTATGAAATTTAGAAAAAATAATGTACCATCTTCTCATTTCAATTTCTGGGTTATGTTAGGTTCAGGCATTTCGCCTGTCAGTGCAAACAGAAATGCATTGGCAGTGATAAACGAAATACGACCAGGCTTAGCATGGAAGGTGAATTTTGAACAAGAGCAGATGATCAACAAATTTTTTGCCTCAATCATAATTGATGGAGAAGAATTCACTGGTAGAGGTAAGTTCTATTAAATTTTCTATGTTGACATTTTGTCTTTAACTTGGAATTTAGTTATTTAAAAATCTGGTTTACAGAAATAATTTTGATGCCAGCCAAAGAATGATTGTTGTAATATTAATGTCCTGACCATGAATCTCGCTGGGAAAACTGCCGACCTTTTTGTTGCACGGACAAAAATGGATTGCTAATTTAACAAATAAATTGTCAAAAACTATATTCAATTTGTCTCAAATGTATATTTTACGATAGTGGAAAGCTGATTTAACCTTGGAGGTGGTTAAATTAGCATTTTTTATCGTGAAATGTACATTAAAACATGTTTGACATTTTTTTAACTACAAAATTATTAACTCATCAATATCATTTCTTCCGTGTGGGGGGTCCAGAGTAAGTGTGGGTAGAAATTTTCTCACCAAGCTTTAGCGTCAGAATGGTTTCACACTTTTAATTTTTGGTTAGTCATTAAGTTACTTCACTTAGTTAACTTATTTAGTTCTCTTTTTTATCCATCTGGATTTATATCAGATTTGTATGCAGATAAAAGGTTAAGCAGGCTTACTTAATAATGGCTCAATGATGCCAGTCTTAGAATCATGTATTGATGGTTTAAGGTGATTCGATGGACGCCATTTTTTGTATCAGAGCGACATGCGATATATCGCATCGATTTGTTCCATAATTTCAGCTACTTGTCATTTGTTTCGAATTTTGAGATCACATTTCTGTTGTCATGAGACTGAAGAATTCATGTACCAAATTTGATCAAGAAATTTAACGTTTTAAAGGCGTGGATTTTTCAGAGGAAAAATATAGCATCCGAGTGCAGATTTGACATCAGTATCAAATGCGATATTTTTCCTCCAAAAAAACGATGCCTTCATTACATTGAATTTCTTTGTCAAATTTGGTGCATGAATTCCTCAGTCTTATGGCAACAGAAGTGCAATCTCAAAATTCGAAAGAAATGACAAGTAGCTGAAATTATGGAACAAATCGATGTGATATATCACACATAGCTCTGACACAAAAAATGGCGTCCATCAAATCACCTTAAGCTTTTAGATTAGCAAAAAATAATAAAATTTGGCCAAATGCCAAGTTTCTACGTCCAACAGTAACGGAAGTATCACTCATCAAAAAACACGGTGTTTGATGTCAGTCATCCACCATGGTTGTGCATACCATGGTTTCCTTCACCTTGGTTTCATCAATCAGCGAGACACATGTTTGCACCGGTTGCTTAACATAAAACATAGAAGAAACGGAGTGGTATACATTATCGCGGTGGATGATGTCATTCATCATGTTTTTTGATGAGTTATATCTTCATTAATATTTTACATAGCAGCTTGGTGTGTGAACAGATATCATAGGTTCTTGCTGATCAATTAGCTCAAACCATCAAAACACGATTTTATAATCAGTGAAATTGACCCCTACTTGCTATTTTATCATTCATTGATATAGAAACATCATATCATGAAGGCTTAAATTGTCAATCAAACCCTACACATGCCTGCATTTTTCTCCTTGTCTCAAAATTCCTCTTTATTTGTGCAGGTATCAGTAAAAAAGCAGCAAAAATAGCCGCCGCATCATCGTTCCTGGCAAAAATAAATGCGTCCCCCTTGAATGCAAATCGTCCGAAATGTGATTTCCAGCAGCTGAATCCTATTGCAATGCAACTTCCTGGTGGCGCATTAACCACGTATCTTGCAGACAGTATTGCTCGGTAATTATCAATTTACATCTTTCGATTTACCTGGAAATTTTACCAATGTGCCTACTATGGAATTTCATAAAAACAATTTTTTTTGTGTTGGCGTTTTCTGCTAATTTCTGGACTTGACTGAAAATTCTTGTATGAATATCGCTTTTTCCAAAAAGATGTATTTTGTACCTTGACACAGTTTTGCTAAATCTCTCAAAGTTGGCACAGTCAGGGAAAACCGGAATTTGCCAGGAAATTTTAAATATCAGAGAAAACCTGAAAACATCAAGGGAAATAATGCAAGTATCAGAAAAAATTGTTAAGTCACCTTTATTTGCCTTCCACAGTGGGTTTGACGCTTCAAACAAAAAAAATTGTGTGGAAGCTATTTCAAATTTTGTCTCTTTACCCATCTGGCATATCAATTGTCGGGGAATTTCACCAAAATATGTCAGAGGAATGTGACGGAATTCGTATGGCAATCCAGGACTCTTTGAAGGAAAACAGTTCCTATATTTGTTTTTTTTTTCTAGCAATGTGTCTAACTTTCTGTTATGTACAGAAATTAGAAAGCCAGTCACTCTTATATGTTCAGAAATTAACTGATTAATTACAGTATTGAAAGTATAATTTCTCTATCAAAGAAGCTTCCTTGTTCACTATTCCCAATTGAATGCATAAGTCATAATCATAAGTTCTCTGATCTCTAAAATTTTCGTGTCTTTTTCTAGTTAAATGTCAAAATCTACCCTGCTAACTCTCATTATTTTTTGGATATTGGTCGATAATGATCTCTCAATAAGCCTGCTGTCCTCAGATTCTCTCATTATAACAAAGGTTAATGTCGTTGGAAAAAAACGGCCCTATAAAGGTGCGGAACGCCCATTAGAGGTAGTTTGCGTAGTGGTCAGAGATAGACACCTTGGTCTGACGTATTGCATTAGATTGTGCCCTCAAATGCTTTTTACACAAAAACTATCATAACTTCGAAAACAAATTTGTTCCATATCACCAACATCTCAATTTTGCCGAAAACATCTCACTTCTGTCATTTTCTGGAGGCTCCAAACATATGCTTTAATCAGTTTCTCTCAAGCATTTTTACTGTTTCACTAATCAGCTCTCTTCTTTGTCCTTATGCTCAGTGCAATTGAAAACAAATTTCTATCGATGGCATCAAAAGTTCCTTCGCTATCAAAGTACAAAGTCCTAGCCGGTATAATAATGACACGAGATGAAAATTACAGTAATTTAGAAGTGGTCTCTTTTGGAACGGGTACCAAGTGTATAAATGGAGGTAAACTTAGTCTTGATGGATACTGCGTCCACGACTGCCACGGAGAGATTCTATCAAGGAGAGCTCTTTGCTCTTTCTTTTATCACAACCTTCACCTCTTGTCTAATCCAGGTTTGTAGAACTTATGAACTATTACCTTTAATAATTAGCATCTGAAGAAGAAAATATTTAAGTTACAGAGTATGGTCTCATTAAAATTGAGAAGGGTGCACCTTTGGTCATAGGACATTCCGTCAACAAATTTTTGTCCGAGTACCTGTTTTCTCTAATAGTTGATGTCCACACGTTTTTTTGGCAAGGGAGTTTTGGTTCATTTACCAATTGAGACCCAAAGATAAATGGTCCACATTTAAATACAAACGACAATTGCTCCCAAAAAATGGATTGCAAATTTAATTTATCAAGAGCAAGGTGATTTTTCCGATCATTTGTAATCGAAACATTGATGTCTCAAATTATAATAATCAATTTGAACTTGCCAATGAACCACCAGACAAGGTACAAATTTCAGCATTCTGATACATGTTTCTTAACTAAAATATTACGTAGAATACGATTTGCACAACGAAAATTACCAAAATCAAATCCTTCCAAAGATATTTAATGATTCTTGATGTGTGAATTCAAACTACCCGCTCATGAAAACTCAATGCGCTCTGCGTGATTTACATCTTGCGCTAAACGTTATCATGACAGTCTCTGCGAAATAAAAATCTGGCAACCTCAATCTTGACGTTTTGGCTCAGCTGTAGCAAATTGCTTATAGTTTGAACAACACATGGTGGGAAATGAACATTACTCGACTGAGAAGCTTGTTGAAACCGTTGTAGTGCGCGATTTGACTCACGTAAAGCTTTGAGTTTCTTGTGAGCGGGCAGTTCAAATTCCTCGTAACCAATGTGTCATAAAAACGTTGATATCTTTGTTAAAAGTTGGTTTCAGTAATTTTCGTTGTAAGAATCGTGTTTTACGTAAAATTTTGGTTAAGAAACTTGTATCAGATTGCTTAAATTCGCACCTTGTCTACTGGTCCATTCTAATTTATACTTTAGAGGTTTACTAACCATGGGGTTCTCTCCCATAAACCTAAGAGACACTTTAAACCATTTTTTTTATTTTACATTTATGCACTCCTGACTATCGATGATAAAAGGGAGCTACATTTTTTAAAATTATCGTTGATTTAGGCTGGCATACAAATAGGTACTTAAAAGCATTTTACATCTTTTCCAAATCCTTAGTCAGAAATACCTTAACATTCATCTTTTAAATTTGTACAGAAAACTACTGAAATTGTATCTGTCCCTCACTATAGTCCAACATATTTCTAATTGCTCTGTTTTTCTCATAGATCAAGCCAAACACTCTATTTTTGAAAAATCCACGGATTGGGATGGCTACGAATTGAAGAAAGGAATCAGATTTTTCCTCTACATCAATACAGCTCCTTGTGGGGATGGAAGGTAAATACAACTCTGACTCAGTATATTTGAAGTATATTTTAGAATTTGTTTCATCTAAGAGCCAAATTTTACATTTCTTCTGTATTCAGGTATTTTCATCCCTGGAGTCAGTTTCTGTAATTTTAAGTTATGGTTCTCTGAGAGCATTGTGCCATTAAATATACTTCATTTCAAATTCGAAATTTTTCGAATGTTTTGTTACATCAGGATTATGGAGGAAGTTTCCCTAAGACCCGAATTATTTGTATTATGAACTTTAGAGGAAGTCCTTGTTTGGGTCGTCTTTAGTGCAAAAGCAAGACAAACAATTTTAGAAATATTTACAAATTATCACATGAATTAATTCAAGATGAAAGGGTACGCACATTTCATCAGATAGATGCCATATCCATGTTTTTCCTTATTGAGTTTTTCCATTTTTTATGTAAATTCTCTGTGTTGTTTTCAGATTATTCTCACCCCAGGAAGAGAAAGATCAGCAACTGACCCCAGATAAGCATCCGAATAGAATCAATCGTGGCCTTCTGCGAACTAAGATTGAATCCGGTGAAGGAACTGTTAAACTGGATGAAAACAAGAAACTGCAAACTTGGGATGGCATAATTCAGGTGACCTTTTATTGCAGGGTGTTTCCTTATTTTTCAATCACAGAAAATGCATTTTTTTGTCCTCTTTGGAGAATTTCTACAGGCGCTCAAAATATTTTAAATGAACTTTCTCAAGGAGCTGCCAACCTAATCAAATTTTTCTAAGATTAATTACCTGAATATTAGTGTTCATTATTAATACTGGTAGGAAAAGAAAAATGAACAGAGTATTTCATTTTTAAGACCATGCACACCTTGAATTTTTTATCCGAACTAAACCAAAACCAAATCCTGAAAAAAGTTTGCTAACCCAAACTAAATCTCCAACCTTCTTTTTTGTGAAAAAATGTTTCACTCGCATAGCTCTGAATGTAAATTTGAAATTTTTTTTGTAAAATCAGCTCACCAAGTTTTCTAATTCAGTGTATCATTGTATTTTCCAAAGTACCTAAGATTAATTTGATGACATTATTATTGGAGCAACCTTCAAAAATCTTTTAGGGCATTATAAACATGTCTCTGAAAAATTGCTGCAACTTGGCGAATTTTTGGCTAAATGAGCTCACTAATCCTTTGTTTTCTTTATCGGGAACTACATGATTGAATTACTTACTTTCTTTTTCGCCCGATGAATTTTTCGGTTGTCACCATTTAAACTTAAACCAGTTAGTAAGCCAGTAAAGTTAGCTAGTAAGTTTAAGTTTTAATAGTGACAACCGAAAAATTCATCGGGCGAAAAAGAAAGTAAGTAATTCAATTAAATGAGCTCATCTTAAGCTGATTTGAGAGCTAAAAATTTGGACTCCAACCTTCTTCAAATTGTACTTTTATATCTAATATAGTTTCCGAACTGCATACTCTGTGGCTCTCCATTTTGTGACAGCTTATGTATAAAACAAATAGCATCCTTGGAAAATGTGTTGCTCTTTGAACCACGGTCTCTTTCCTAAAGAAAATCATGTTTCAAAAATTGCCATTTTTTCCCCAGGGCGAGCGCTTGCTGACCATGTCTTGTTCAGATAAAATTGCCAAGTGGAATACTGTGGGACTCCAAGGTGCTCTTCTTTCCCATTTCGTCAAGCCGGTGTATCTCACAGGAATTGTGATCGGCAGCTTATTCAGTCCTTCACACTTATACAGGTATACTTTTTTTAATTCATCATGAGAGCTCTTGATTTTATTAATTTATTTATTTTAATTACAACATGCGAAGCCCCTGCATTCTACGATACATTGTGCTAAAGCTAAAGATCAATTCTATTATCGTTCAAAAAAATTAAAAAAATTCTGGGGAAATCTCCATGAACTGAGTGCACTCTCTACTTTTTAAAACGCAAGAATTAAAAATTACTGAACAAGCTCGATTCCAGAGAAGACAAATGGCCATTAATAATCTTAAAAGAATAAACGACATTGAAGTATTGAAGGGCTGAAGCAACGTAGTGAATAGAAAAGGAGACCGAGATGTCATGATAATTTATTGTGATCATTGAAGGCCAGTCGAATAAAGTAAAGTCTTCTAAGAAAATGAATTATTTGATTAACTTAAAACTTTTTTGAAAACCAATTATATAGCACTTACTTTTTTATTGTTCTCTACGCACTATGGCCATTTCGAGCGGGCAGGCCGCCCATCCTCAGGTGACTGCATTGGTATGGAAAGGTTCAAAAATCCGGCGTGATAGCCACGCCGGAGCAGTTATTATCGCAGCTCTCGTCTTCTCGATCAGCTAATTATTATCAGATGTTTTCACTACATTCTTCTTGTATGAACTGAGTAAGATTGGCGGTGTTGTTAATGTTGTCACATAGCTCTCTAATTGACAACACCGCCAATCTTACTCAGTTCATACAAGAAGAATGTAGTGAAAACATCTGATAAGAAATGAGCTGATCGAGAGGACGAGAGCCGCAATATTAACTGCGCCGGCGTGGCTATCACACCGGATTTTTGAACCTTTCCATACCAATGCAGTCACCTGAAGATGGGCGGCCTGTCCGCTCAAAATGGCCATAGTGCGTAGAGAACAATAAGAAAGTAAGTGCTATATAATGGGTTTTCAAAAAAGTTTTAAGTTAATAAAATAATTCGTGTAGTGCCGATAAATTTTTTAAAAAAATGTGCAATATGCAACAACATAGTTCTAAGAAATGGTTGTCATCAAAACTACTAACTTATGCAGCTTATCAACCAAAATGAACACATTAAGTTGTGACGACATAGTCAGCCTTGCTTACTTTTGGTCTTGAACGTCAAACATTTGTCTGCACTTGTTGCACCCATGGCATTTTCCTGCAAAGAATGACTACCTAATTTTAAGGAATCAGTGAATCTCCACATTGAATTTTTCAGAGGATTTTATTCTCAATTCGATATAATGTACAAGAAATTTTGAATAAAAAATACTCTTACTTTTCTCAAAAATATCGTGTGGAATTTGGTAGAGTTCAAGAGTCCACTCAGCTTTTATCACTACAATGTTACCACTGTTATTGAAAGCTTCAGTTAGTATTGATCGTCTCCTTTCAGCTGAAGTATCACCAGCACCATTTTTGCGTAGGCACCACTTTGCCAAACCTCTCAGACTTTTCCAATTCATGAAGGCAAAACTAATAAACATAATCACTTGAAAATGTTATTCAATACTTCCTTTGTCTAAACTTGAACTGTTGTTACTTGAAAAATTTTGCAGAGCTGTGATTGGCCGTCTAGAAGGAACGTTGCAAGCACTTCCTCCTCCCTATAGACTCAACAAACCTCTTTTAGAAACAACGAGCTCTAATACAGAAAGACTAGCTAGTAAAACTCCGAACCATGCTGTTGTTTGGAGTGCAGGTAACCCACTTTTTCCTCCTTAAAATTGGCAGTTATATCTCTGATTTAAATGATTTTTTTTTTGCTTCATACAAGGATTCCCAGTAAGTAAGTTTTGCTGATGTTTTTCTCCACGAATATCATAGATAGAGCAAAACTGTAAAATTCTTTAATCGGTCTTATCTACTCTCAGCTTTGAAATGAGCCATAGTTTTTTAAATTGAATCCACGGGTTGCTGAGGTATTCAACTTTTTTGCACCCATCTCCTCTTGCTGCAGGCCCGATTTTTCCACTGCTGAGGCATTGTGCAGGTGGCATCATCAGATCGCTAAATTGTAGAGACTGTCAAGTGGGATGCAAAAGGGGTGTTACTGATTGACTATTTAACAAATGGTGAGACCATAAACATAGAAAACTACTTCAATATCCTTGGAAAGCTCAGAACTTGGATCCGAAGGAAATGGTCCAGGCTTCTGAGCGGAAGAGTTCTGCTCCAACATGACGAGTGCCCTTACTAGGCAAGAGTCCCTCAAGATTTGTCAGAAACTTTGAATTTGCATATTTTTCCCTATCCACCTTGTTCTCTGGTCTTGGCTCTATGTGATCCTCATCTTCTCTCTCGACTCAAATCAGATCTTTCTGGACGCCATAGTGACGAAGAGGTGATAAAATCTTTCAACAGTCGGCTCTGAAATCAGATAATAGAGCTCTCTTCTGATGGGATTGAAAAAGTGGTACCATGTTATAAAAAGTAGGTGGAAAAAGAAGGAAGTTACGCAGAAAAGTGAGGGGAAGCGCTTTTTCTTTGAAGTTCCTTTTGCTAAGTGCATTACGTACGCCTCAAAATAAAATCGGACCCGCAGTGAGAGAAAATAGGTGTAGGAAAAGATAAATATTTCAGCAACCAATGGGTCTTTAAAAATCTACAACTCATTTTAAAGCTGAGAGTATGACTAATTTAAGCTTTTTTACAGTTTTGCTCTCACCATATTATTAGCAGAGAAAAAAAAAATAGAAAAATTCACTCATTGAAAAACCCTCGTATTTGTATGATTACTGTCCGTCAATAATTTTTTGTTATTTTTAAATTTGTTTTTAATTAGTAGGTAAATTCATTTTATGTAATTTTCTTTCGATTCATGTACTGTATTGGGTTTTCTTGTCAACTTTTTCACTTCTGCAATATTCCTGAGATAACAACTTTTTCCTCTTAATTTCAGATTCTAAATTTATATAAGCCCCCTAATCAAGACTCAATGTCATAAAGACCATTTCCTGATTCTCACTGCGACCAGACACATTTTTTTGGTCAAGATGTCATGAAGGATAATGTAGTAAATTATATTATTTTTATTTACAGATATGCTGAATGTAGAAGCTATGAACGCAATTAACGGAAGGCAACTTGACACAAGTGGAGTACCCTGCATAAGTAAAAGAAAGCTCTTTGAAAAATTCCTTCAAATCGCTGAAAAAGTGCCTAGTCCTAATTTTACCCATCTTTCATCTTTAACCGTGTATTCAGAAGCAAAAAAGGCTGCAAAGCTGTACCAGGTAATTTAACATTGCATCTGTTTTTCTTCAAAAATTCCTGAAATTTTTGTCTGTTTCTTAATTCAGCAAGAGAACTAAAAGTTAATCATCTTAATACAATGCTTAAGATTTCTAATAGTGAATTGCTGAATTTAGGGCCAGTTCTATCACCACTGATCAAACTGCTGGTTACATTTGACAAGAGGATAAACACAAAAGTGGAATTTTACCACCTCTTGTCACCACAGACTCCTGGTCAAATTTGGCTCATCGGAGGGAAAAGACGGAAATGATTTAATAGGCACTTTGACAAACTTTCAAATGCTCTAGCCAGATGTTAACTGTAAATCCTAGTCTCTGATTGGTTAATGTTGCAGTCCAATACAAATGTGCCCTCATCAATTCATCGGTTTTCTTACGTCAATCTCAAGAATTATTTATGACATATTGCGACATCTGGTGGAGCTGGTTTGCTACTGATTTTTTTATGGAGTAAATCAAAGTTTTCAAGGCATATTGTCATTATGTATTTCCGAACAATTGTACAATGGGTCTCTAGACAGGGTATGAATTAAAGCAGTATGTAACATGTATTCTCCTCAAAATTTGCGGAGGAAAACAAATCATACTATGGGAATACTGGAAATCAACCCCTAAACAAGATCGAATAACAAGTAACATTTGTTCAATGAAAATGAAAACATGACGTCACAAACAAACTTCCATCTGATCTGTGTTAAAAATATTTGCTAATAGCTCGTTCAGAACCTGATTTCCGATCTTTCGGTTGCGTGGTTCTTCTTCTACGTACAATTTTGAAGAGAACTCATGAGGTTTCTCGTGTAGTTCAGATCTTATCTAGTGGCCCATTTTAAATGAAGGATAAATGTGACTGACAAAAGGTGATAGAAAGGGTTCTTATTTGTCAAGAAGACAAACACTTATTCTCTGGTCACGTAGCAAACAGATTTGACCAAAGTTAATAGAACCAGCCCTCAGCGAATGGTCCATCAGTGATATTCATCACTGGAAGTAATTTGCGTTTCCAAGTCTAAAAAACAAATGCAAATAAAAAAATGATTTCCAGTAAGTGAGCAGCTACATTGCCAGGTGATTTCCTACTAGGCAAGGCATGAATTGAAGCATTTCAATACATTTTTTCTCTTCATAACTTCCTTTAGAGCACAATTTGCGCAATGCTCCTTGTTCAACTTCTAATCAAGATATTAAGGGTTTTATGCACCATCAGTAATGACAAAGAATTTCTTGCTCACAAAAAAGACAAAAGTCTACTTGAATCAAATCGCGCACTAAGACAGTTTTGGCATGCTGCTCAATGAGCAATGTTCCCTCTTCACCCTGTGATGTTCAAAGTGTAAACTTTACGCAATAGCTGAGCCAAAGCGCTGATATTGTGGTTGCTATATTTTCGTACCGTAGAGACTGTCACGGTAACTTTTAGGGTGAGGTTAAACTCAAATAGGTTATTGTTTTTTCTATGAGCAGGGAGTTCGAATTTATGCATAGAGAAATGTTATTATCTTGGTTAGGAGTCACATACAGTAATTTTAGGTGTAAATATTGTATTCCAAGTAAAATTTGATGAGATAGTATGCATCATAATGCTTAAGTTTGCATTTAATGTATCGGTCCATTATTTTTTTTTTTTTTGTATTCTTCATGAATTTTCATTTTGTTTGTCCAGGAAGCAAAACTACAAACGTTCAAAGCATTTTCCCAGGGAAAGCTAGGTGATTGGCTGAAGAAACCTGCAGAAGTAGACGAATTCGAAGTCGCGCCTGCAGATGTAGAGATGAAACATTGATTTATGTGTTTGTTTTAACTTTACTAACTATTCTGAAAAGGAAGTTCAAACGGTTGTGGTGAAGTTAAGTCATGGACCACTTATTGCTCTTCATTGTTGTTCCGACTAAAAACCCCTAATTTTATCACTGATTTATGATGCACTTGTTGAAATACGTTAGATCTCATTTATGTCACAACTTATTCTTTTTTAGCAAGTTCTCTCATTTTTCCACGTCAGGTTCTTCAGTAATGTTTTTCAATATATTTTTATCACTCCTCTAGAAAATGGGAGTACCCGTGTAATGTTATCTCTAAGGTTATTCAACCTTATCCCAGTCATTAGTGATATTAGAATCACATAGATATCTTGATGCGTTAGATTTAGCATTAGTAACAATTAGAATTGTTACATTCTCAAACTGTCGCCTTTACGTGTTTTTCAATGCATAATTTTATCCTTAATTTTCCTTGTAGATGATCGAAAGTTCCTCTAAACCAATTCTCTCTCTTTTTTATATAGGCTGCAAATGGCTGATGAAATAATCATCTCCAAAATAAGCTTGCTCAGTGATTCTTACATTTTTAAAAAGTAGCACTTGGCTCAAAGGAATTTTCCCGGATTTTTTTTTTCATCGCTAATTACTAAAAAACGAGTTCAAAGATTCGTACTTTTAGTCTTGATTGATTGAAACGTCCATTACTTCAAAAGTCAAAATTGCATCCAAAAATATTTGTCCAGCTTTGGGCACACTTTCAAACGCGTTACCCCTCATCCATGGTTTATTGTCTGTGCTAAGGAAGAATGTTGTACAAGACGTTGCCAGATTTCCTTTTAAAAATGGAATCTCCCAGTAAATTTTTCAATATCTTTCCTCCAATTTTGTCTGGGAATTTTTTTCGTAGTTTGATCTCAAGTTTCTGACAATTTCGAGGAAAAATATTCATGAGTTTCTGCAAAAATTAATCTCTTCCGAGAGGAAATTTGGCAACTTTCAAATGTTCAAACAGCGTTTTCCTTCAGCATGAAACTGTTTCCAAGGCAGAACTGACTATCTAGGATGGATCTTTTCCATTTTGACCTTTTGGTTTTCTCGGCGATGCAAGTTTAAATTGAGGCCTAAAATACGCAACTTAGAACTCTTTTTTGTGGGTTGTTATTGCTCTAAAAATTCGAGGAAAACGGGTCTGTTGCAATGGTTTCAAAACCGTTTTTATGCTTGGACCAGCTAAAAATAATAAAATCTGTCCAAACTGCGACTCTCTACGTTCAATATTTATCAGGATAATGCGCTTTGAAAAATTCGGTTTATGACATCATCCACTGCAGTAGTGACATCCATGGTTTTCTCCACCCTGTTTTCATCACTCAGTGTGACGCACAGTGGCACACTGGTCACTCAACATGAAAGTCATGAAACTCCGATGAAAGCAAGGTGGAAGAAACCAAGGGTGTCACTACCGCAGTGGATGACATAATAAACTGAATTTTTCCGAGCGCTATATCTTGGTTAATATTGAATGTGGAAAGCTGCTGTTTGGACAAGCCTTATTAATTTTAGTTAATCTACAAGAATCAAGCATAAAAACTTGTTTCCGTGACCAGAACAACTGACCCATTCCTGCAAATGAAAAACAAAAATGATCCAATATAATAAGAGCAAATGATGATATTCCCAATCCTTCTCACCCTATAACTAAAGAGATTATCCTTGGTCTTAAAATTAATGTCAGTTTAGAAATCATAAATATCATAAACATTTTTGAAAGCATAATTTTCTTTTCTTCAGGATAAAATTGAGTGTACATTAAAATTCCAGTTGCAAGTATTGTTACTATTATAATAAATACTGATGATCTGTCATCCAGTCTATTTTTCTAAAATGTAAGAGATGAGAATCACCGAATAAGCTCATTCTGTGTATATACATTGCTAGTGGCCACATACTTTTTTGATGTGCAACGCTCATAATCACGGATGTAGCTCATAGAAGAGCCAAAATTGGCACAATCGTTTACCCTTTGTCTGCAAATGCAAATTATTATCGCAAATTCTTGTCCAAAGGGTTGACTCTTGACTTTTTTGTAAACACCTGAAATAGGACAGTATAATTTTGTGCATAATACTAGACTAACTTAATCGTTACGTCACAAGAGTTTGATTTTGTTAACATTTTCAACTAAATTGAAAAGATCAACTGATTGTGATTAGTCCCTCCTCTTGTAACAGTGAGAAAATTTAAATTAAGCCACTTTCTTTTGGTTAAAAACATCAATTATTGTACAGAAACATTAAGAATCGTGTAATCAAGAATCATTGTGAATCATGCACCTGTGATGTAGTTACCATGTCAGCCCAGCGTTGCATAGTGTTTGCAGTATCTTATTTCAATTTCATTTTCTTTCCTCCTCTCATTTCTTTCTATAATTGATGATCATCTGTAGTATAGACTCAAAAAAAGTTTCTCAAAGAAGAAAAGGAAAATGTCAAAAACGTGAGGGAAACTTCATAAATTTTCCTGAACTTGCACGCACAAATCCAATTTTGTTGATTTCCCAAAAACTTATCATTCTCCTCAAAATTTTGTCCCAGAAGCAACGTCAGTTTTAGGGCAATCCTTCAATTTTTTTTCACCAACACACATTCAATAAATGAGAATGAAAGAGTTTCGTTCAGCCTAGAAAATAAAACAATTTTGAAATGAAAGAAAAAATTATGATAAATGAGTTTTCTGTCAAGTGTACGCACAATTATTTTTTTTCACCTTTCCAAATTTTTTCTGAAGTCCATACTACATATGTAAGGAATGATTTCATTGTGCGCGTCTGTATTGTTAGTTCAAAAGAAGTCATTTTGCATTTGGAGCATTTTGATCACTGATATTCCTCTAATAGCATGTGTTTTACCTCTCAACTATTTCAGTCACAATTTCAGCTATGCTTTTCAAAAATTACGTCAATTCTCACTTGTGCGTGAATCAATATCCATCCATGCTGCAAACTCGTTTCGACTTCTCCCCGGCAAAACGTGATTACATTTTTTATACCAATTGACGCATAAGTGAGTGTTTATGTTGTTTTCAAACTTTTTTCTGCAGTTGTTCATAATTATCTTATTTAGCTGTACTTTTGGCGCAAAATGTTGTCATATATTGTCAGTTACTTTCTAATTCCATGAAATTCTATCATTTGAAAGGAACTTTAAGCTTACTAAGTTTTCATTTGTTTTATATAAAGTAGGAATGCCTCTGTTCTGTAAGCAATACTCATAGAGAAGAAACTGAAGGTGGTGCCTGTTCTTTCATTCTTATCTCTGGACGTTTCAAGTCATGACCTGCCTTTTCCTTTCTTTCGCTCCTTGCTTTTCCACTCGATTCTCATTCTTTTCCTCTCTCTGATTGGTTGTGCCTTATTGCATCATTAAAATGGTCGCCAAAATTAAAACAACCATCATTTGCAGTTTTTTCTGTATGAGCTCCCAGGAACGAATCGTTATTGAAGTGTTTCCAAACAACCCATAAGAAATATTTAGTAAAATCCCCACGAAATATTGAAAACCGATTTATATTTGACCTTTGCAACATGTCCTATACCCATTTAAATCTCATACAATTTTAACCATTGACAGTAATTTGGAGCAAAGCGTTTTAGACTTTAATTCGCTATGCTGCAAATGTGCTCCGTGTACTCATCGTACTTTAATTTTTTTCTTTTCTTTTTTCATGAAGTTATTGTAAATACTTACTCTTCTCTTAGTTTGTTTTCTTTCACTCAAAAAATGAATTGTGGTTTCATTCATGGTTAGATTAAATAGACTTGATTTTTTAGTCAATGAGTGCATTATACTTTCATCCTTAATCCATCCTCTACTTTAATAATGGAACTAGAAAACCCTGCTTAGCTTTATGCTGCGTTGCGAACTGTTTTGAATCTTACATAAAAGTATTGAGTGCGTTATTGCGTATATTTTGATAGTTGCACCTTGAACGCAGTTTTTCTTTTGTCTGAGCAATAAATTCTTTGAATTCTTGTTCAGGAAAAGAGAACCAGTCCTGATGGGTTCAATTATTTGATGTTTTTCATGCTAAAAAGTGAAAACAATTTTTTTCTGCTTAGATGGTTTAATTTAAGAGAGGGTAGAGAGCAATCTCACTTTGATGTTGCAAATGGCGAAAAAAAAATTGTAAACATCAGTAGCTCAGACATCAGATAGGTATAAACGGATAGGAGGTATCGTAAAACCCTTGTTGGGATAAACGGATATTTGGAATGAGAACAATTCACTTGCAGTGCACATTCATTTTAATAATGGCACCAGAGGTTCTGAAAAATCTAAAAAGAGCTCAGCTGATATAAGGCGTATTAATTATTGCTCTCACAGCATTGCCATATTTCAACTCGCCTCCTCAAAAATTAATTCCATTATGAATAGATGCTAACTGGGAACAACATACAGGTCCAACATTTGTTGCAACGGATGAGGGAAACCCAGAAAAACCTCACCAGACCTTATTCTAAAACAAACATCACAAAAAGAATGTTGTGAAGTTGTGTACTATAGGAGAAAAAAATGAAGAGAAAAATACATCAAGGACTGTTCAGCATTAACAAGTTTCTTGACACAGGTTTTGTGCATCAAAGACTTTTAACGGACTGATATTCAGCAAAATATTATTAAAAGGCAAGTGAAACACATCTTCTTATTGCCTCGACTCATTTTACGACGGACAAGCTTCCTGTAACCCCAATCGGAGAATTTTCGATTTTGACCCGAAAATTTTAGTCCATGTAACCCCTGTCGATTTTTCTCTATTTCCGATGGAAAAAAAAAAGTTCGAGATAAGTATCAATTCCTATGTATTTTGAGGCGCTGAATCGATTCCGCGTGGTCCCGCGGCTCTATGGAGCTTCCCGGGCCGAGAAACGGTGAAAAACGAGTGTTCACTGCCGTTTCAAGCATGCTCGAATATCCGCGGTTATCCGCGATTGTCAAGACGGATCGATTTCTGGCGCATTTTGGACCAAAAATTCGGACTCCTCGACTCATTTTACGGAGGACTAGCCTCTTTTTAGCCGGATCGGAGAAGTTTCGATTTTGACCCGAAAATTTTAGTCCATGTAACCCCTGTCGATTTTTCTCGATTTCCGATGGAAAAAAAGAGTTCGAGATAAGTATCAATTATTGTGTATTTTGAGGCGCTGAATCGATTCCGCGTGGTCCCGCGGCTCTATGGAGCTTCCCGGGCCGAGAAACGGTGAAAAACGAGTGTTCACTGCCGTTTCAAGCATGCTCGAATATCCGCGGTTATCCGCGATTGTCAAGACGGATCGATTCGTGGCGCATTTTGGACCGAAAATTCGGACTCCTCGACTCATTTTACGGAGGACTAGCCTCTTTTCAGCCGATCGGAGAATTTTCGATTTTGACCCTAAAAGTTTTTTTCTCGAAATTGGAAAATGTTTGAAGGGGCTAAAGGAAGGTGATCATTAAAATGCCGTGAGGCGTTCGATTACCGTGTTAGAGGATCTTTCAGAGTTTTTGTTGAAGTTTTGGACGCTTAATAATGTATGACAATAGTCAATTTTTTTAAAAGTTTTATTTTTGTCATGTATATTTGCGTAATTTTGTAGCAATTCCCATTGAGCACGAATTAATTTTGCAGAGAAATTCGTATGGTACCATTCAAAGTTTATCATTCTAGTTGCTGTGTCTCAATGTGATAGTTCTTCTCATTTTTTATCAATTCTCATTACCGAATCCTGTGATAGTGTTTACTTGTTGGGGGACACTAAGACTTTTTGGAAAACGGCACAGCAATGAATGATATTTTTTCATCTTAAACTTTTGGCCCCAGTTCCAGAATTTGGGTTTTTCTTTCTTTGTCTTAATATTTGGCTTATTTAAAGTAAGTACCTGTAACCCAGAAATTTTTTTTAATCCTGCATATTGTTTCACGCCGAATAGATAATCACATGAAAAGTTATATGATATATAGTTGACAAAAGAAAAATTGGTCAACCTCTTGTGATATAGATTCAAATCTCACGGAGGAATTTGAAGGTAAGAATCGTTTTGTTCAAATACATTTTTTTTGTTTTACTCTATTTCCTCTGACTGGTGGAAACTTCCTTGAACAAATGAAGGGCTTGGAAAACAAGGTATATATGTGCAGTTTTTGAAAAAATTGCGATATTAATGATTTCGAGAAAAATTTATCGTAATGCAAATTCTGTGAAAAATTCGCTCCCAAATTCCAATTTTCAAGCATCAAAAAGGTCAGTTTGAACTTTCTTTCCACCATAAGGCTCCATGTAATTTTAAACCTTGAAACACATATCGACGGTGCAAGTCGGCAATCACATAACTCGTTTGCGGTGTCTGAAAATCTCCGCAACTATGTTATTATTTTGAAAGAGAACAAATGGACGTGATTCCTTGAAGTTTTTGCAGAATTTTCCTCGCACATAGAAGAAAAATCACGGCAGTTTTAAAGAATTACCGTTGAGTAGTTTTCCGTTTAACAAATAAAGTATGGCAGGAAGTCTGCGACGTCGCAAACCGAGTTATGTAATTGCCGACTTTCACCGTCGATATGTCTCAAAACAGCAAAAACTGCACTTATGCGCCTTGTCGTCCAAGCCTCTCAAATGGTATTCAAAAGAAATACCCAGATTATAGAGATTATTATGGGATTATTTTTAACCGACATCCATTGTGTAATCATCACGCTCATGAGTGCGCATTCAGGGTTTTCCCCTTAAGCTTTGAGCATCTGCAATCATGCCCCTATCAGTGCTTGCTGACTAGATAACAAGATGGGTGAAATGTGACAAGCAATCACATACTACACCAACTTGGAAAAATTGAGCTGTAAAGGAGGTACAAAAAAATGCACAGAGAGGAAAAAAATTATTAAAGGCTTTTTCTTGAGACACTGAAAATGCCTTGTTCTAAGTACGAGTCTTTTACGACAGAAAGCATTTTCTTTTGGTAACTTCTTCACCGAATGTGCAGTGTTTTGTGACTCTTAAAAATTTTCATTTTTCTGAGCTGGTTCGTTTTCATTCTTACAGATTCAAATCCTGCAAAGAGTTTTCTAGTTACCAATTCCTGGAATGGAAAATTCCCTCTTTTATTCCTAGTAGGTTTATTAATGTTTTCAAAATAGATGAATTTTAAAAGGCGCATGTGTTTTTCTAGTACCAAATTTATTCTTGCTATTATTCATAAGCTAAGTTTTGTACAAAGATATACAAACAGTCTTAAATGTAGTAACAAACATTACTATTTCTAAATAAATCTTAAACCAATGTATATGGCATCATCACAGGCTTTTTTATTCTTATTCTTATGGCTATTTACATAACATTTTGTTCGAAACGATTGGCAAAAGAGTATAAATTAGTATCCTCACATTAATCGTACACATATTACAATTTTCACAAATCTACAAAGTTCAACAAAAATATTTACAAATGCAGATATTTACCTATTTATAGTTATTTTTTTTCTTATAAAAGAGAAAATCGTTTTCAATAACGGAATTTTGAGTCACATGACATAAAGCAGCAGCTAGAAAATCAGGACCTAACCATCAGATGATAAAAAAAATTGAGCCAAATTGTTTGAAAATAACTTCAGAATAAATCGGTTGAGATACAGACTCATTGTCAGTTTATCTCACAAAATATCTGATCTTGTACTTGTAATTGAACATATAATTGATGGAACAAGAAAAAAATAGATGCGAATCTTAAAATTTTAACAGTCTAAATTTTGAAAAAAAAGGGGGGGAGAGAGAGCAAAATTGATTAGTTTCGGAAAATTGTAAAAATATCATTCAAATTATGAAAAGAAACGCTGCTTACGGACGACCTCATCACTTCTTCAAAACGAATGTGCTACAAAATTCATTTATTGTCCGAAATTTGTCAAAACGCACTATACATTTTAAATCGATACTTATTTTGATTCTGATGCTTGTCAGAGACAATTAAAATGAACTAGATCTCCGCCTACAAAAGAGACAGATGGCAAGAACAATTAAAATTACATCACAACAGACCTAAGAGTCTAAAAAGGGGGGGAGGGTATAACAGTTTTGAGGAGAGAGGAGAATTTCAGAGAAAAAGTAAAACTCAACTTTGAAAATTAAAATAATCGCGGCACATTTGATTGTGAGGTAGATTTGCACTTCATCATGTTAAATAAAATAAGTAATTTTTGATCACATCAGAAGATTTGGTACAAAACAAGTCTAGATACAGAGTGGTATATATTTAGTGAATGTTGCTTAACACGCAATTGTCAAAAGTAGGGTTCAAGTGCTGGCTTTGTAGAGCAGCTAACGAGTAACGAATGTATTTAGTTCTGACAATTAAAAGTACATCTAAAATACCAACGCTCTTTATTGCACTCTATTTATATAGCCATCAGGAAATTGTTAACAGTCGGGATTCAAAAGCGCAGCAACGCTTTAACTTTTACACTACGTTTTCCACTTTTTTTCAGCAGTTAACACCTTCTCTACCAATTTGTAATACTGAAATTGTGCATGCCAGGTCGTAAAAACATGCAAGGAATCAACAAAATGCAAACGATTCAACATACATTTTCCACCGATCACCATGATACTATATGTTAATTAGTGCCATTAAGGACTTGCAGCCAGTGCCTCAATTGTACAGCAACACCGTGAAAATGCATCATACGAGGTGGTCATTGTGACTGTTAAAGCTCAGAGTGACCGATAGAAAACAATCACTATGACCACTATAATTAATGCATGTAATTGAAAAGACTTGTAAACATTTTAACAAGTCCTGTTACTTTCTCGTGTACTTTAGCCGGTGCTCCAGGTTTTTCTTGTAACCAAAATTGTATATATTTTGGGATGACTATCATTATTACCATTTGAAACAGAATGCACATAATGAAAGAGAATGGCAAATTTCTTACGAGAAGGGTTAGATACATAAAATACCAGATTTCTAATGTACCAAGTCTTCTGAAATAGACCTTTATTGAAAACCTACGACAGTAAATTAATTTCTAGTTTTCATTTTTCCAAAACTAATGGATGCAGTTCACAATGATACCAACGGTCCTATGATACTACTGCGCTTTAAACTCCGATCAAATCAGTGGCACATGATTATTTAACAATATAACACACATTCAAATTAAAAGAAAAAAATCGACTAGACTGAGGAGAGAAAATCGTAGAAATTTACCTCAATAGCAATATGATACAATGGTAACAGTCACACGACTTCCCTACCAAAAGAAAAACATGATAAAAATAATTTAGGCGCTTTTTGAACTTTCTCGCAGAGCCAAATTTTCTACTCTGGAGAAAATTTAATGTAAAAGTCATTAAGTTTGTTTGTTTCAGTCATTTTTCAAAAGATTTTCCATCATAGGAAAGCATTTTTCCAGTGAAGCTTTTCCGCAAGAATGAAATCACCAATATTACCAACTTAAAGTTTTACTTGACAAAGAGGGAGAAAAAGGATTTTTTTGATGTTCTCTAAACGACAAAATCGGAATATTCCCTGCAACTCGGATTGACAATGGGAGAAGAAAATTAACATCTTATTGGTAATTTTCATTCTATTATAAAATTCTGGCTTTCAGTTGCTCAATTTGGTGGTAAGCAATAATCTCTTACTTATCAGGATCATTCAAGTTCTGAGAATTCACAGAGTCATAAATATTATACCATTGTTGCTCTTCACAAACTAAATTCAATTTAATAGGATGATTTTGTCAATTGATGAAAGGCAAGAAAAATATTGCTTAGAGAATAAAATTAATACATAAATGCAAAATTCTCATTAAGGAGTCAGTTTTTGGCAAGATTTCCCATGATAAATATTCTTAAAACACAAAATGAGATATTTCCTAATTGCTGTGCAAAAAAAAGCCGTATGAGCAGCCAGATGTTACCACATTTCCTTCCAAAAAAGATTAATTTTTGAAGAAAATTATGAATATTTTTTCTTGAAATTGTCAGACTTATTGGATCAAATTATGAACAAAATCCTCTGAAAAATCGGAATAAAATATTCACAAATTATCCCAAAAATGCATGATTCATCAAAATAAATTTGTAGACGCCCGAAAGCTCATACTATGCTTCTCCTCAGCACAGTAGATAACGAGTTGCAGAGAATGAATATTTTTGACCGTCAATACAATGTTATCATTATGATCTTTACAGTGGTATTTGAACTTACACCAAGAAGCATAATTCCTCTTTTGAGTTAAAACTTAAAAATTTGATGAGCGTCATAGTTGATGGGATTTCAAACAGACCTAGACTACTCGAGTCAATAATCATAAGATCCAAAACAGCAAAATGAAACGACCTTCATCAACAGACCAAGCACACTGTAGATTTCACAATGCTCGAAACGAGAAAGTTCTTACGCGACTGGTCTAAGAAAACCAACAGGGCTCGAGTCATCGACTCACCCTAGGATAACACGGAGAAAAAAAGAAGGTGTTTGCATTTCGGGCATCTTTGATTTTTTTGCTGACGTAGGTCGATACAGACGATTTTCATCATCAATTTTCTTGGAAACGGTGTAATTTAGGGAAAAAAGTCATTCTGTATAAAGCGTTTGAAATTACATCATATAAGTTGAGTTAAGCAAAACAATCGGTCCATTTCTTCACATTCCGAATTTTGCTGGAATATCAACGCCATGCTGTACCGACCTCGGGTAAACAATTCTCAAGATGCAAACACCTCCTTCTTCTTCTCTACGCCGAGATAAGGCAGCAGCTAACATTCGCTATACGGAGGGTACACGATGCGTGGCATGTACGTCGGCTGGAGATGACAGACGACGCGTTGGCCGTCCAGCACCGCCACCGTCTTGGCGCTCTGCTCCTTGAGCCGCTGCTGGAAGGCAGCGTCCAACGCCGAGTGGAAGTTGCGGTCCGCGGCCGGCGACGGCGAGTACGGGATGAGCGGTCGGTGGTCGCCGTAGGAACGACTCGACTGCCGCGACATGTCCGACTGTCTGCGGCCATCTTCATCGGAGACGTCCGAGACTTGCCCTCTGTCCCTGTCCCTTTCGCGCTCCCTTTCGATCTCCTCGTAGACGGGGTCCTCGATCGGAAGAGGAGCGTTGACGGTGATCTCCGTGTAGGTGTGGTTCCAAGGCGAGTGGGCTCGTCGACCGGTGTGGCTGCCCGGGCGCTGGATCGGGATCTCGGTCGGGTCCAACTCACAGCTCACTGCGTGGTGCGGGTACGCCTTGATGTTCTGCTGGAACAAACGGAGGGAATCGAAATCAAACAGCTGTCAAATTACAGACGAATATCACTATAGAAGCTATAAACATAATTAAAATTTTTAAGAATATTACCTTTTTTTTTGGATGTAGAACTGGCTATAAATTAAAATTCTAGTTGTTACCATTATTACTATAAGTGTAAATACGGAAGATTTCTCGTCTGATAAGGAAAATATATTTATGTATCTTCTTCTTACTGACATTATTTTTCATTCAATTATGATAGTTTTAGTTTTTCTAAAAATCATTACACGATTAACGATCATTTAACGATTGGGTTTCTGTGTAGCAGAGCTTTCAAAAATGGATCGCATTCAGCAAAAGGGGACCAGAGCTACTACAACGTTGTAAAAATGCTGCTTCTTCATAATGGAGCATTTGCATACACATTTTTTTTGTTTTATCTGAAAGTGCTTAAAAAGCTGATTTCACAGTATTTTTCATAATTTTTTTCTGATTTGGAAAATAGTTTTAAAATAGATTTAAAAGTGAGAAAATGCTCTGCCCAGTGACGTCATCTGGTGGCATTTCCCATTTAAACGTGTGTATTTCAGCACATTACATCATTTCGTCATATCTTCTCCAAAAATTGCTCAATTCATAAACCAAGGGTATCCTCGCATTCAGTTCACTCATTAGTTTCCACTTAAACAAGAAATTCATCAAATTTAAGACGCCTGCAAATTCTCTATTAACTAAAAAAATTCCCAGAGTAACAGATAGTTTTGGCTTTCCACCAATAAATTGTTGATTCGAAAGGAAAATAATCGTGTAAATTTTAATACTGTGTACACATATTGAGTATTTTCAAGAGAAAACAGGAAGTTGCACGATTCTGAAAACACCGTAACCAAGCTGGTTCCTTTTTGCTAAATGCGATCTAGATAGGAGTTCAATAGTGATAAATGGCAGTGGGACCATGTTAGGTAGAAAGTAAGCAAGTCACACCAGCTATCGCCAAATTCGAAATATATTCGAAAATATCGACAAGGCAACTTTATAGCTTGAAATTTCCAAGAAATTACGTTGACTAGTTTTCAAAAGAAACAGCTAAAAAAAAATAAAAAGAATGGCAGAAAGTCTACGATGTCGCAAACGGAGATACAAGGTTTCACATTTTAGCCATCGATATGAATGTAGGAAAAAATCTAAATATGGGTAGTAATTTTTGACGTCAAAAGCTCAAAAGATAACCCTACAAGATGTTAAGAGACTTTTCATCAATAAGAGGTGCATTTTTACAGATTTTTTCAAAATAAGATGTGATTTTTCATTGACTGAAGTAATACAGTAAACAATGGTAATTCTGAGGTTACACTGTAAAAATTAAATAAAGTAGAGAAAACATAAGAAAGCTAACATGGCAGGATTAATTTTCTGCAAACGGTACAAAACACTTGGATTTTTTTTTTTAGTTTCAAAAATGAAGTTTGTCATAGTTACTCCATACTTTAGATGTAGGGAATAAAAAACCTTTGATATTCGAGCAAATAGACATGCTGATCACCTGAGACTAAGTGGCCTAAACTGACTGCACAACTGGTGGGAGGATTACGTTTTTTTGGATAAGTAAAACACTTCACAGGATGCAAAATGTTGAAAAGTATAGTTGCTGTCAAAATAAGCCTTGGCCGGATGTAAATTATTCATCCATGAACTCTTTTCTTGCTGAATTTAATGATGTTTAAAATTAAAAAAAAGGTAACACTTTCCAGAAGAAAATACATAATTTGATGTGAGAAAATCTTTTTTGGGGCACAAAAGGGATAATTTGACTTTCATTGACATGCTCAAAGAAATGAAAAAAATATGCGAAACCAAACGCACTCATTAACTTGCAAAATCTAAAAATTTTAAAAACTCACAAATTACTCTATTTTTCAAACACAATCTATGAAGTAGGAAAAATTCCTCTGCGTCAAATTGCGAACACTTTCTTCCTTCTTTGTTCCATCTATTTCCCCCTTAATTTTTTCGTCAGACTCAATGAATATGTTGAATTTCAGAATCAGACAAACTACTGATTAATCTATCAGTATGAATTTTTGATTATGAGGAATGGAAGATTTGGGAAAACATAACAAAATCAAACAAAAGAGAAAATGATTTCATCCCTCTCACAGAGGGATGATGGAAAATCAGCACGCAATACTCTACAAAACAGGAGGTGGAGGAAATTTGAAGCGGTTTTTGAAATGGTTAGTAACCTGAGTCTACTGCGTAAAGCGAGAAGGAAGGGGTGGAGCAGAATCACTCGGCAAAAATACTTACTTTCCAGATAAAAGGTTTATTGAGGGGGCCCCAGGTGGTGGCCGATTTGGGGATGTTAGGAGGGGGGAATCCGCGTGAACAGGGCTTAACATACGGGAGAGTTGCTACGCACACCTCCACCTGGTTCTCAGGCAGAGTGTGCGTACTAATGTTAGTGGGTTGCGGGTTGGTTCCCACACTTGGCGAATTCTCTGCGCCTTTCCCACTCCGTGAGCTCCAGCCCCGGTGAAGGTAATACTAAAACAAAAAAAGAGTTTCTATAAGCCCTATGAATCCTCAGCGTCTAAATAGAGTCTAGGAAGAAAAGAGAAAAACTTTGAGAAAGGAAAAAAAAAACAATGAGTGCTTTATGGTGGCAAGTAGCCTTCTACACAGGAATTTCAAAAACTTAAAATAAAACAGCATTTTTCGTCCATCGTTCAAAAACAAACGGGAATCTAAGATCAGAGATTGACAATCTCTGAAAACTTCATGACGACCATTTGATTTTTCATTAATCTAAATATGACAGATTTAAAGAGGAAACTTTTCTCAAAATGTGTAAGATTTTAAACATTTTATTTTTAAGTCCCTAGGTTAACTCCTCAAATTCGTAACTCAAATAATTTTTAAAGACAAGTGAACGTGGAATTTTATCTGAATTTTTGAACGGCAGACCGAAAATACATATGTATTCCCATTGCATTTTCGAATTTTCTGTGCAGGAGATGTAGCCTCATCTTATAGACTATTCGGCACCATCAAAGCCAACTGATAATAAAATTAAATAGGAAAATAATTTCAAAATAAAAAGCGGTTTTAGGCAATAGGTAGAAGTTACTTGAATTTTAGTGGGAATGGTCAACTTTCTTGAGTTTCAGTGAAAAAAAAATATTGAGGCCCCAGAAATAAATACAAGGTTAGTAGAATGCCCTAATTCAGATTTTCTTGAAATAATTACTGAAGATGGATTATTCCTTTTTTTGGGGTGAGAAAGATAAATATGATCAGACAGGACTCATACATACAAAAAAAAAAAAAAAAAAAAAAAAAAACATACTGAGCGATTTGCAGATAAAATAAACTAAAATTGAATTAATTTTTAGGAGTGTGAAAAAATAAGGGGAAAAAATTACGAAATTAAAAAATTAAAACAATAAATTGATTCATACTGACAATTTTTCCTAGATTTTTGAACAGACAAAATACGCGAGTTTACACTTTACAATCCTAGGAATTAAGTTGACCTTGAGATGCTTGGTAATTTCTCACATATTTCAATTAGAGAAAAATAGAAGGTTACGACAATGAAGGAAGAAAGTATTTGAGAGGGTTTTACATCTGAATTATGATTAAAAATATATAGTTAAACGGGAAAGAAAAATTAGATTTTATGAGTAAGAAAATAGAACAGTTTTCATGAAATATGTTTCGAATCCTATACTAAGAAACATACCCACAGTAACCATGAATTTCATAAATTTAGCTGATCTAATTTTTAGCTATTTGTGACAGACTGTTTATCACACAGATAATCAGCCATGAAATGAGCCAACACTACAAAAAATTATTTCAGAGTATTGCTGTAATTGCAATGTATCCTTTTTCTTGGTTCAAAACATCTTATAAGAATCAGTAAAGTTTATTATAAGACAAGGAGACATTTTTTAATAGTTGGCATTTATGTTGAATCTGGCCACATTGAACAGAAGTTCTAGTGTGTTATGAAGAGTACCGAAACCATTTCTCCAGAATGGAATGGACTTAACTACACTCTTTGATACATTCATAATTTCTGATTACTTTTACGCATGTAGGAAAAACATATACAATACGTAATAAAAAACTTTTCTTTTATTGGGGTTAAGTGGAGGGTTCCCAGAACCAGTGCAATACCTTGCGTACAGTTAGTGATGACAGCTAAAAAAAGATTGAATGTCTGCAGGACTGACAAAAATGAAGTTTACCTAATTTTTGCTTTTTTTCATAGAGAGGAAACATCTAGATACCTATTTAAAGAAGAGAGCCGGTGTGTAACTGATATTTTTTGGGTAAGTGGAGTAATTATCTTTTTAAAAATGTAGTTTTGATGAGGAACCATTACATTCATCTCTCTGATTCTCAGAATGTGCATTTTCTTTCTTTTTTTTTGGTCATGGTTTTAAACTGCGAACTTAAGAGAGGAAAGCTACGCTACATCCAGCTAGAACCAAGCCAAATGGGATTGAAGTTTTACTCCTCCATAAGACTCAAAATTTGAGCTTTGTTCTTACACTCTGAATTTTGACTTTTTGCAGCTACTTTTAAAGTGTACAACTGAGCTCAGGACTGCTTGTGCCTCCTTTTTTTCTTCTTTGCGGAAATGGCTCAAGTAGAGGGTTATGTAATATTTTTAAGGGGAATGTAAACCAGTGTCACAAGTGCATTAACCAAAGAGAGAAAGAGAGTCAAAAAACCTGATCTTCAGCTTTACAAATTGACGCTGAAACTCCCAAACCACTTACCTAGTTTGCGGTGTTTCAAAATCTGCGCTCCCTTCTTATTCTTTTTGAATGAGAACAAATCAACAATATTCTTTGAAATTTTCACAGAATTTTCTTCGCATAGAGAAGAAAAGTCAATGAGGTCTTAAAGAATTGATGTTCGAGTAGTTCTCCATTTAAAAATTAAACTATGACAGGAAGTCTGCAACGCTGCAAACCAAAATACGTGGTTTGGGAGTTTCACTGTCAATATTTTAAGAGCAGCCTCCAAAAGCATTTTCATAAGGTCAGGTTTCATAAAAATATGCCAAATCAGAGCTTTGTGGATTGAGTCTTCATTTTCTAGTTTCGAACTTGCATAGTGGTTGTTTTTGGTTAACTGTGCTGGCATTAATGTCTCTTGTTATCAGTTTTTTCGTTTGTCCTTCTCAGATGTTGGCCCCCAACATGTGGGTCTCAGGTTTTCCTTCGAAATTTTTTAATTTTTAATTTATTTGCCAACCTAAAATAACTGTTCTGCGTCAAAACGTCTTGGGTTTCTAGTTTTGTATTTTTAGCCTTATCTCCCCTTTTTTCCCCCTGTTTTTTTCATATTTTCCAGTCTTGCAGACACCCGTAAATAAATTACGTTAAAACGTCTTGAGTTTCTAGTTTTGTATTTTTAACCTTGTCTCCCGTTTTTTCCCCCTTGTTTTTTTTATATTTTCCAGTCTTGCAGACACCCGTAAATACAGTAGAGCGATGAGTACGCTAGGTGATTAACAGAGGTGAGAAGCCGGTGAGAAGCGTTAAGCGAGGAGAGTGATGAAGCCCGGCCCCGCAGGTGTTGAGGGTGGAACGAAGGCGCAGGGTAATGAGTAAATACCTGGGCAGGGGGCCGGGCTGGAGGCCAGGCTTGGGGCCAAGGCCGGGGAGAGAGGTAGAGGAGAGGTACCCACGTTTGTTGCGTGCGGCGAATGCGAGTGCGCCGTGCTCGAGTCGGTGCTGTGGCTCGGGGCTGAGTTGTTGCCCGCGTAGAGGGATGCGCGCCGCTCCTTCCCGCTCACCACGCCAACATTCGGCGGCGACTCCCAGCAGCCGAGGCACTTGGAGATCCACGAGTGCTGTCGGACTAGTTTGCGGTACTCTTTGCGTACCTGCACACACCACCAAACAAATTTCTCTTCATATAGCTCTACAGTTTTCCTTTTTTTAAATATTTGGATTGCATTTGGCAAAAAGGAACGGGCGCGATTATAGTGTTGTTAAAATGTTGCTTCTTCCAAATTAACTAGAAATCCTCCTAGAATAGAAGAATTCTTCCCACCAAAAAATTGTGAACTTCAAAGGAAAATAATCGTGTAAACTTTAATACTGTACATATGTTAAGTATATTTTAAAAAAAAAGAAGAGTTTGCACGATTTTGAAAACACTGTAATTGCATTGCGCTGCTTCCTTTTTGCTGAATGCAATCCGTTTCATACACACCCCTAACTTACGAAAAATGGTTAATTACTTAATTTATTACGACAATCCGTAAAAAGGCCATTTACGTCAGAGATCAGGAATTTACCTCAAATTTTTTAATTTACTTGCTTCAAGAGTTTTAAAATTTTAGTAATATTGTTTGGAGGGAGATCATTTTGAATTTTGATTCGTGTAGCATAGATTTTTGGGCAAGATGGCAAAATAGGTACCAAGTTGTTGTAATTGTTACCAAAAATTCATAAAAAAGCAAGGTGGAATCTTTCTTGCCAAATTAGCAGGAGTTGTGCTTTAAAAATCAATTCAATTAATATTCCAGTGCTACAAAAACGTTTTCAACGTTTTGATTAGTTGGCGTTAACATACCTTGTCATTTTGAACACAATGGAAAACAAAGATGAATAATCCTTGTAAACTATTGAGGACGGTGAAGATGTACGCCATGATGACGGACTCTTCATTCAAGTACAGGAGGCCGAATGTCCACGTCAGCCCAAGTAGAAAAACTAAAACTATGGCCCCACGCAGCCACGCTCTGAAAAAGAACAACGATAAAATTAGTTCCTGAAGACAATCCATACTTTTTTGTATATTATCGTTTTGAAAAAGGATGATTCTTTATTTTTAAGTGTGTACAAAGTTGCTTCAAAGCTTCTTAGATATGATTCATTTTTATTTTATCATTATCAGATTGATCTACATTTGAAGAGAACAGTTTTTTGGATGAAGATAAACACACAAAGTATACTTTAAAAATCACAAAATCTTAGAGGCATGTCAATCGATGATTGAGAATCTTTAAAACTAAGAGAGTATCGGATACTTTTGAGTCACTAGTTAAACATCAACATAATCATTTTTCCTGAAACTTGGTCTTAAAGACTAGGATCAGTCGATGGTGAAACTGTAAAAATTTGTACTTCAGTTTGTGGCGTGGAAAACTTCCTGCCATACTTCTATTCCTTTATGGAAAACTATTAGACGTCTATTGTTAAAAACTTCCCAGGTTTTTCTTCTCAGTGTGAAGAATATTCTGTGAGAATTTCAAGCCACAATGTTATGTCCGGCTCCCTTTAAAAATTAAGAAGGAGTCGAGGTTTTAAAATACCATAATCAATATTCTCATTTTTGCAGTTTCACTATCGAAGTATAAATAGTCTCTAATACTGATACTTGGGAAAAGATCACAAATAACGGTGAATTTTCAGGCAGAAGATGTTCATTTCTATTTGTCTTTCGAATAAAATGAAAAATAATATCAACGGTATCACAAACATCCAGTGACTCGCAGATGAAATGTGTTTACAAGTTTCAAAGAAATGGTAACTTAGGTTGATACTGGAGATATTCTCTTTTGAAAAAAAGTATCATGCATGAGATGAATTAACAAATAAATGGAAGGAATGCTTGATTGAATAAAAAAATAACAAGTTAATAAGGTATTCAAAAAGTTGATCCAGAATGAGGAACATTATTGTAGTTAAATATGAAATAAGAATTGAAAAGCGAAAAAAAGAAGAAACAGAAACAAGCAGAGGTGCTACGAATGATTGGATGAAACGTCAAGAGATGAAGGAGACAAAACGACAAAGAAAAGATTAAGGAAAAAATCTTACAAGTGAGACTGAAGTTTAGATTGAAGAGCACTTTCTTCCTTCCCACTTCGCCATGCAAATAAAAAAGAGAAATGAATATACAGATAAGAGAGAGAGAAAAGACAGCATAAAACTAAAAACAAACACCATTACATTAGCAATCTACCTCTTCATTATCGTCATTGTTAAGTTTTTCTTCAAAGTAATGGAAATAAATTGCTTTGATAAAATTTTTGAGCAAATATTTCAAAATCCAATATTGCAAACATCTTGTTGAGTTAAGAAAAGAAAGCGTTATTTTCTCTGCGCTTCAGTGCTTAAATATGAAAGCAAATTTGACTAAAATATTTACATTATTTCATTTTGAAGCTGTTTTCAAGTACAAAAATATACAAATGTACATCATAATTATTCAAAATGACGTCAGAAATGAAGTATTAATATGGTAAATGGACTTAGATTTGCAAGCCATTACTTGCTATGATACAAATTTCTGGTTCATCTATATACCATTAGCTCAAGAAGATTGAATTTTTTTAGAGTTAAGAGGGGTGGCATTAGATTATTATTGCAATATGCATGCTCTTAGAATACCTAGGAAAAAATTCAAAATGACAAAGCGCTTACCTTGCACTAGCAAGCCTGGAATGTTCTTTACTTTTCATGGTGACAGATGTGTTGCTATGCCGACACATCATGTAAATTGCCATGCTTAAAAAGACAACATTGGCCTGGAAAAGAAATAAGAATAACAATCAAATTATATTTCAAAGCAAAGTTCTTCTAAGATATGAAGAGTACCCTGTTACACGAAATTTTCCTCTAACGACATTTTTTACATTGAGTTTTGATTCTCTCTAATTGAGGCTTTGTTTATCGAAAATGATTAAGGCCCAAAAAATGAAGGTTGAACAAGAAGTTTGCATCAAAAAATGTGATATTGACTTTTTACAGTAATCTATAAGCCGCAGAGTCAAAAATATGAATAAATTTAAACATTTCATCTCTGACCCTGAGAAAAGCTGATTGTTTTTGGAACAGCATTAAAAATGACTTGAAATCTCTTCTGAAAAGAAAATACTTTTGTCGAGCAAGTGAATTCATTTTACACAGACGTAAGTAAAAAAAATAAAAATGGAAAAAAAGAATAATACTTACAAGTATCACAATTACAACAGGACCAACGAAGCTGAATATGAAAAAGTTATCAGCCCGCAGCCAACAGTATCGATTTGTACCGTAACTTAATGGGTCTATGAGACACGATGTTAATACTATGAGCAGAGGCACTCCATAGCCGAACGTGTAGTACCAACATACCCTCGACTTTTCTGCTTCAAATACTTCTATTAACATTACATACAATTGAAAACCTGGAAAAACGAAAAAAATAAACATTGAGCTGAGGATAGAAACAATTTTTGAAATAAAATATTAAAAAGTGAATTTTTTATTTTAAATATATACATCAAACACTCTAAGTTTGATTGTTTTGGCTCCAACAACCAAGCTGTAAAGTCTCACTGAGAAAAACACTACTAAATAATTATTGCATTTTTCTCACATTTTTTGGAGTTTTTTTGAAGGGAGGATAAAAAATGATGAAGAGTGGAATCAGTGTTAACTAGATAATGATTGAAGCAAGAAGGATGTAGTAGGTGGTGATTATCAGGATGGGTATATTTTTCTGATGGTTAAGAACAAATCGACGGTGAAACTACCAAACCACGTATCTCGGTTTGCGACGTTGCAGACTTCCTGTCATTCTTTATTTTTTAAATGAAAAACTACTTAACGTCCAGCCTTGAAAATTTCTGTGATTTTTCCTCTTCGTGCGGAGAAAATTCTGTGAAAATTTCAAGGAATGATATTGATTTGGTCTACTTAAAAAAAATAAAATGCGAGCGTAGATTTTTAAACACCGCAAACAAGATACGTGGTTTGGTAGTTTCACCGTCGAAATATAAATTTAATCGGCACCAAAAAGTTGATGGCTGCAGTTAGTTACAATGTTTAGGAATCTCCGATAAATTTTTATTTTTCAAAAACAAAACAACTAAAATTTTTCTATAAAATTTGGTGCAAACATTTTTGAATGGGTGAAGAAAATTCATGAAGAATTTTAAGAAAAACTGTTGGTTAATTTTTTGAAAATAAAATAATACATGAGCAAGAACTTGCAATGTCACTTCAGCCATTAAAATAATACTAATAATATCGTAAATGATGCTGATGATGAAACATTAGAGACATCATCAGAGACCTTGGACAGGTTATTTTTGCTATAAACAGCAACTTTTGATTGGGTGAGTGATGTCATCAATCAACTTTATAAAAGCGAATTGCTTTTGGATCCATTTATATAACGTTGATTAAATAATCCACTGACACTCTTCAGCATACATCCTAAAAAAAAAGTATATACATGGCTGAATAACAGAAACCCATGAAAATTTAACCTGTTGACTATGGTTTTCGTACCTTCTAAAAACATCCACGCAAAAGCACAAAGGAAAAAGAAATGTAGCGCAGCAGCGATTGCACCACAGAGGAACTGTTGATCAGTTCGGCTGATTCCGACTAGAAATAAAAGCTCAGCAATGAGGAGACAGGCACACAGGTTTTTGTGGATTGTCACTCGATCGCACTGAAACAAAAGAGAGGATACAAAGATAAATTTGTATTCATGCTTAGAGTGTAATTAAAATTGAGGAATTTCAACGTTTCAGTGGAAACTACTGAACAAACTGAGCATGAGAATACCCTTGGTTTCCAAATCGAACAATTATTAAAGGAAATTTGACAAAATGGCCTAATCTGCTAAAATACACATCTTCAAATGAGAAACGCTGCCTGAAAACGTCAGAGGGTGGTAAATTTCTCACTTTGAAATCGATTTATATTTTTCTACAATTTCCTGTTTTAGAAAAAAGTTATAAAAAGTACTGCAAACTCAGCTCTTAAAGCACTATCAGATGAAGCAGTAAAATTCTTTCAAGCTAGTTCTCCATTAGGGAATAAATTTTATCTTGTAGTGATCAGACTAAAATCAAAATGAAAAACTAAGTGATGGTTATGGTAAAAAGTTGCGAGACAGCAAAAATTAGATTTTTATCTGGGTTTCACACAACCAAAACAGTTTTTTTCCTTGTTTATTTGTTTTTTAAGATATGAGTAACCTTTTCAAAACGAAACAAAAAATCTATTTGATGTCAATGGGGAGGGGAAAAAAATTTGACATAATAATTTGCTCTGTCCTTCAATTTCTGCTTACATTTTCTTTTCGGTACTTTTTTTCCAAACATTCTCAGTGCATTATTTCGATGACGTAAAGAAAAATCACCCAAGCGGTGAATGATCATCTTTTATGAATGATACTTCACCAATATGTGGATTATTGACGACTTACCTTTAATCCTCTAAAAATTTGAAAAGTAATAACAGCTAACATAAGACACAAGATTGAGATTATGCAGCCTATGTAAGTGATGATTTGCAATGCCACCTGATGGGGGGCCATCAGATCTGTGGTGTGGACATCCATTAAGATGGCAAAATGTGTCAGATGATTACACTGGCAGACTGTGTGGGTGTTATTCGTCAATGCAACATGGCATCCCTCATCAGACCAATACCTAAAAAAAGAAAGAAAATAATTAATTTTGACAATATTATGATAATAACAACAACTCTCCATTTTTAGCTATTGACTTGAAATTCAGAGTCTTCAAAGGGAGATAGAAAGAGAGAACAATTCGTGATTTTCAACTTGCTGTGATCCACTTTACACAAAATAGTTTTGCTTAAAGAAAGAATACGTGACATGAAAATATGTATAAATGCATTGTTTCAAATTCAAACACAAACATACTTCTACCTCCTAATTTTTTAGATTTTTGTTATTATTTTGTCAAGCGGTATACGACTTGCTCGTCAAGAAGTGGTTGTAAAAATGATGGCGCAATGTTACTACCAAAATGAATTTTTTACAATTCTGTAGCATAATTTTTGGCAGGTGCTGGGAGGAAATGCTACAATTTATGATCAAGTAATTAAAAAGATGGCTAAAAAAGAGGAATCTCTGACGGTACATTCATTTTTCTAGTTTAAGCGAGTTACAATCTTGTCTTAACTTTAAAATTACTGATGACTTGGCGAGGCCTCCGAATAAATGAATCAACCAACCTCTGAATGTAATCCCAATAAACACAGACAGGACTGCTGACGTTTTCTGTCTGCAGGTGCTTCAAACAAATGGTGACTGGCTCGTTCAGTTGGATATGGCGTCCTTTGCCCAGTGATGCTGAGATCACTTTGCTGTTGATAATTTTACTTGTGTTGGGCGATGGAGATTGCGGCCGCAAGATTTCCTCCAGGTGATCAAACTCTGCAAAAACTAGACGGACCAGTCGTTGTTCATTGTTGGCTGCCAAAAGTGCAGCTCGCTGAATCTGGAGCCAGTTGTCGTTACCAACCCGCCACTCATCTATGTTGGAGGCTGATGGAAAGACTTCAGCCCCAACGTTGCGTAGCTCTAGTACTCGTACGCTCAACACTAGAACAGAGAACAGATACGATAATTAGGCAGGCTCTCGGACATGAGAACTGATTGAGATCACCATAAGGTGAAATACAAATGATAAAAACTTCAACATCAAAATATTGGAAGGACAAAAATCGAAGGATAGCAACACAAAGATCAGCTTTCATCTCTATCAGTCTTCTAATGGAATCTCTGAATATTCTTCTCTATTTTTTTTCAAAGTCACTCTGCATTATAAAAATTGGAATGATTTGTTTAAGATAAGTCCTAATATACCTAACTCTTAGTTAGACTCTTTTCAACAAAATAGTTTTTCTGGATACATTTAGTAAAAAAAATATCTTTGAAAATTTCAAGGATTTTTCCAGCATCTAAATTTGCCGAACCAAGTAAAACAATACTTAAAGTTCCCTCTCTTCTAGGAAAATTAAGGTTTTGTTAAAAGCTAAGATCTGAACCCTTAAAACACACGGAACACTAAAAAAATGACTGCTCGTAGTAAACTTGTTGCTGTTTAGCATCATGCACATTTGAAGTTATCATAACTTAGGAGATAATTAAAAATTCTAGACTATTGACAAGTCCAGTTCTCATACTTTTTCAGTACTGTGTTTTAGAGACTTTGACAACTTTTATAGACTTTCTTGTTATTCTCCTGTAGAAATATTATTCACAATATTACCAGTTGGATTCAAGATTTTTACAAGATCAGTTCTTTTCAAATTTCAGAATAGAGAGGGGCATCAGAGAATTCCCTTAGAGATGAATTTTACCTCGAGGTAAAATTGAGTTTGAATAAAATAACTTTGATCAAACTTACATATATTTTTAACAGCATGGGTGACAGTCTTCTCTCTATTGACGGTATCAGCCAAGAGAAAAGAATTCTCCTCAAGTCCGACAAGAAGTGACGAGGCGACTCGCATCTGCTCGTCGTAGGTTAGATCATGCCAAGAGGCGTGTTGCGATGTATCGAGGAGATTGGATCCAATTTTAACCACACTGTGAAGGAGCTCAGTTACGATGGCTTCTCGCTGTTGCTGGTCAGGCACGGTCAGGATGTCCTTACTCATTTTCTGCGCCATTTCTTGCATGATTTTTGTCGTTGTAAGCATGTCACCACCATAGAGACCTCGCCCATCAGTAACCTAAATCAGAAGATATAAATCGTTAGAGCAGTTAATCACTAGGAGAAATAAAAAAGAATAATACTCCTCTTGAAAGATCAAAGACACCTGCTTCTCCCTGTTGATTGTACTTCAAACAAAATTGCTTGGTCCAACGAGTGGATGTTCTGACAACATACTTCTCCATTTATATGAACGGGATTTTTTGAAATTTTTTGTGACTTAAAATATCTATCATACATAAATGTGTAAAGTGCATACATGATAGACATTTATACAAGTATTTCATCTACAAGGGTTAATGATATAATTCATATTGCAATCCAGGATTGCGATAAAGGTGGTGGAAAAACTTTTCTAAAGATGGAAATCATATACTTTAGGTACAAATTATTTCTTTCTTTCATTATTTTGGTGGTACAAAATTAAGAATAGGTACCACAAATTTTCTTGTTATACATTGCTAATATTTGAATAGGTATTTCTGAAGTTTATATTAAAAAGTATGAGACAATTTCGGTCGTAAAAAAAAGTTGAGTTGAATTTTCACAGGGGTTCCTAGGGGTGATTTTTTTCTCCATTCAAAGCACTATTGACCCTGTATGAGAACATTATTTAGGGGTGAAGCTACTTAAGTTAAAATTGTGTAAATACTTTTGCGAAAGCTATACAAACATATTCTCTCTATGCTAAAGAGTTCTTCAAGCCATGCTCTGAGCAGAATATTTGTTTTTTGACAAATGTCTTGACGTTGCTGTAATGTTCAAGCTTTATCATCCCCCTGCCGCTTCGAATGCATCCCCAACGAGCGAAAATGAAAAATCCCCGAATTAAAAAGGGAACATGGAAGCTGGCGAGAAGACTCATTGTCCCTTGAAAGGAGGACAATAAGCTCTGGGTGCGTGATACATCTCTTTGCGCACTCCTCATTTTATTAAATGTGCACTACACACATTCTGAATATTTAGGATTACTTCACAAGTTATTTGATACATTGCTCAGCTCCCTATCTGTGTACGTGGACTATAGAGAGGGGAAGATGCCACAAAGGGTGGATGTGGGAGGGGGAGGCCATTAAGCACAAATGTTACCTCGCCCATATTTCTCCCAACAGAGGTGGGGCTCTTACCCAACGTAGTTTCCCTGATTCTTCTCACAGGGCACTCATGGATTAAGAGTGCTTAATTTGCATTTAATTTTCATAATTTTTAAATAATTCATGCCTACTGATGAGACACAAAGTTTCAAGTTTTACCTCATTTTATTGAAAAACGAGAAGAAAAAAAACGGAACAAAAAAATAAATAAATAAAAAAATTCCACTGACCCTCTTTTTCAGGGTTGCAAAATCTTTTGAACTGGTTTTGACTAATTTTCCTTTCGGTACATAGGCTATTTTATTCATTTCATTCTTTCATTTCTCTTCTAGTTCCGGCCATACAATAGCTGGTTTGGAAAATCAGGGTGTGTCTTCTAAAACAGGCTGGCCAAGAATCAGTACTTTTTCAGTACCGAAAAATTCGATACCTCCTCAGCGGGAAAATTCAATACTTCCTCAGTACCTCCGATTGACGAAATGCAAAGAATTTCGAAAATTTGAATTTCACGCTCAAATTGCGACAAAAATTGGTGAATATTCCAGACCTATTTGCGGAATTTACACACTTTTTACTTTAGTACCTTTACTGTACTTTTTCAGAACATTCTCAAGAAGTTCAGTACCCCCTCAGCAGGAAAATTCAGTTCTTTTTCAGTACCTCCCATTGACGCAATGCGAAAAATTTCAAAAATTCAAACTTCGCGCTCAAATTGCGACAAAAATGAAAAAAATTTCGGACCTACTTGCGGAATTCACACACTTTTTACTTTAGTACCTTTACGTACGGTACTTTTTCAGAACATTCCCAAGAAGTTCTTCCCGCACTTCTTCAGAACCGCCCTTAGAAAATCATAGTTATTTCCGGACTTTCCGGAAATTCCGGACTTGTAGATACCCCGCTGTCATTCTCGTCATTTCCCCCACATTTCCAGGTTTTCCCTGACTTTTTGAAATTCTCTGACATTTCCATTCCAGGTTTTCCCTGACTTTTTGAAATTCTCTGAAATTTCCCAGTTTTTAAGGTATTCCCTGACTGTGACAATCCTGCTTGTGGAGGAACTCTTCTTCAACCAGAAAAAATCCCTAGTTCCGGTTATACGGGTGGTGGATTTGAAAAATGGGGCTCACCTGTGAGAGATCGTTGGCGATCTGGGTGATGGAGTCGCCGCCGTCGTTGATGCGGTACTCGAGGCTGGTGAGCCAGAGGGAGCGGCACTCGGAGAGGTCGGGGGTGGCCGGGACCCGGTGCCCGTTCTCGCAGCGCCACCGCGCCACCCCGGTCGCCCCCTCCGGGCAGGGCTGCACGAACACCTCGCCGCCGTTCGTCCAGTTCCAGAAGAGCCCGCGGCTCTGCGCCGGCCCGCACATCCCGTTCTCCCGCTGCCACGGCACGCTCGCGCTCGGCGACAGGTACTCGAGCGTCGTGCTCGACACTGAAATCCCAACAGAAATAACATGGGTCAAATACAGAGTCACCAAAACTGATAAGGTTAGATAGCGCCTTCATTTATCGGAGATACTAAACCATACACGACTCTTAGTGACATCGTCACCTCAGAGTATCATAAGCGCCATGCGACGTTCAAAAATTTCCGCCGCCATTCCATTTTTATATGGAGAAATTGTTCCACGAAGCTGTCCGAAAATGTCACTGATTTTCCATTTGTGCTGCCAACAAAATTCAGTGAAATTTTCAGACGGATTCAACCAATAATTTGTCTGTAACAAAATGAAATGGCGGCGGAAATTATTTTTAAACGTCGAATGTTTTGGCCGAAAGGTGACATCATGGTTACTTAGAAAACGATTTGCCATAGAATTTTTCGATGGAGCTCTTGCATGTCACGGAAAATTGCGGTTTATGTGCATTGTCGTACGTAAATTCTCGTGTGAAACGTGATCATGGATGCAAAATGTAATTTTATTTTTTTGGAAAAATGAAAGTTGTTTTTCCACAAAATTTCAATGATTTTTTAGGGGCTTCATATGCAGCCAGCAACAATTATCTAATCCGATAAGAGACTTCGACATTTGACTTCTGATATCCTTTTTCGATTTAAAAATTAATATTTTACTGTTTCTCTGCATTTCACGTCATACTAACTCCACTGCAGAAGTTTAAAAAAATGTCATAAAATTTAATGGAATTTGCATCTTCAAACACGCTGAGGTCGCTGGTACTCTGAAACGAAGTTTAACCCCCTTATGAATGCTGATTTCCTGGTTATAGACACCAAGACAAAGATGAAATTATTCGAGTGCTTACCAGGAACGGCGGTGTAGTGTGTCCTGGCCGGGAAAGTGGCGGGAACCGGGACCTGGGTGGTGGTTTCGGGCTCCTCCTGCTCCTCCTGCAGGGGTAGTTTGATGGCGGGCGTCGTGGTGGACGGGGTGGTGGGCGCCGGCGAGGAGGTGGGCGGCCCGGGGGAGGCCGTCGTCGGTTGGGGGCCCACCGAGGGCGGCCGCACCGTGATCGACTTGGCCGTGCTCCAAACCGACGGTTGCGAGGTCATCAGCCATGGCGGGTTCGGCCGGTTCGTCGTCGTCGTCAGGTCCGCTGAAACAGAAACACCAAACTATTAGAACGATTCCCTTCATTTTTCACTGATACCACACCGACTAACAAGAGTCGTATCCTTGCGAAATTAGGAAGTTCCTCGGATACAAAATCCCCTTCAATTTTAGCGGATACCGCACCGCACTACTCTTCTACTGACAAGAGTGGCATCCTTATGAAATAATAAAGTTTCTAGGATACAAAAGCCCCTTCAAATTTAGCGGATACCACACCGCACCACTCTTCAACTAAGAGAGTGGCATCCTTATGCAATGATAAAGTTTCTAGGATACAAATCCCCTTCAAATTTAGCGGATACCACACCGCACTACTCTTTTACTAATAAGAGTGGCATCCTTCTGCAATGATAAAGTTTCTAGGATACAAAATCCCCTTCAAATTCAGCGGATACCACACCGCACCACTCTTCGACTAAGAGAGTGGCATCCTTGTGCAATGAGGCAGTTTAAAGATACCAAATCCCCTTCAGATCTCGACTAAACCACACACCACACACTGCTCTCCTACAAGAATAAATGCACCCTCTCGTAATGTGGAAGTTTTCGAGATAAAACGATCCCCTTCATTTCTCCGTGATACCACACCGCATTATTATTCCGGAGGAGTGGCTTGGCTGCATCCAAGGGTGCTGAGCATGACTTCAAGAGGATAAAAAAACGCCTTCATTTCAAACCGATACCAAGGAGGTACAGGAATTCCTCATCATAGTGGTTGCGTTAGGCATTAGGCTTCGACACTCGAGAATCACACGTGAATGTGGTTTAGGGTCGCAAGTTCGGTAAAATTTCAAAATGCCCAGAGCTTTCCGAGACTTAACTTTAGAAAAAGTGCCCTTTTCTAAAATTCGGGATTTGGAGAGACGGAGAGGTGGATGAATGCAGAACATTTCTCGGCTCCAAGGGCGACTCCGTATTGGCAACACGGATAAGGAAGGGGGCTGAGGAAAGGTCAATCATCAGCTAATGATATAAAAATCCTGCTGAGTCTGCGGTCCTAGTGTGAGTGCGAGTACGCGGGAGTGTGTGTGTGTGTGACGAACGACCCCGGTCGGGAATCTGATGTGCACCGCGAGAGGTCGCGCTGTTCTCCATTCTGCCGTGCTGAGAAAAAGCGCCGTATGAGCTTCTGAATACTGCCAAATTTCTCATTTATAATTTCCACGTTAATCCGTGATATTTTTTTTCATTGAACAGGGTGTCTAGTATTTATTAATTTTGAAAAATCCTGATATTTTCCTGATTTTACCTGATATTTTATAAAAAATTCCTGATTTTTTCACTTTGAAAGAAAATTCCTGATATTACCTGATTTTTCTCAACTCCTGGCACGGTAGGCAAAAGGCATTAAGACTTTCTCCGCTAAGGAAATTCGCGTAAGAAAAATTCCAGATAAAACTTCCGATTTTCCTGGTATTTTCCCGATTTTTTCTTGATCGGCCAATATTCCTGATATTTTCCGGTTTTCCTGATGCTAGACACCCTGTTGAATTTTGAACAATTTAGATCGCAATTTCATGAAAAAAGCATGAAAATTGCTTAACAAAATATTTTCTGACTCTCCTGATGCATCGGTAATTTGATCTAATTCGATATTTTTATCAGACTAAATTTAGTAAAATATATGAAAAAAACGAATTTGGCAACATTTGAATGCTAATGCGGCGTTCTATCTCGGCGGGCAGGATATAAGAATGAGAAACGGAGGGCACTCATAAACATGATATGATCTCGTCGCAAAAATTAGAAATCCCCGCGATACCTCAATTCGAGCTCCGGTGTGATGCGGAGTATCATCGCTATTTGAAGGCGTTTTGGAAGACAGAACAAAAAAACTTCCAAATACTGAGACTGCGTTCGCGTTTTAACTCGTGACAGCAACGTTGCGCAATTCTGTCACGGATGCGTTGGGAGGAATAGCGAGCTGATTATTGAAATTGATGGACAAAGCGATTGACAAAGAAGACAGGGGGAAAATCCGAGATTTTTACTAAAAAAATACAAAATACATCACCACGTAATCCACTCATCTGGTGCTTTCATAATATTAAATGGATCGCATTCAGCAAAAATGAACCAGCGCGATTGTAATGTTGCAAAATGTTGCTTTTTCCTAATTACCTTACAAAAATCTCCCATGAATAGCAAATAGTTCTGGCTTCTTACTAAAAAATCGTTAATTTTAGAGGGAAATAATTGTGTAAATTGTAATACTGTACTTTTATTAAGTATTTTTAAAAGAAAAGGAGAATTCGCACTATTTTGAAGACACTGTAATCACTTGTTCATTTTTGGTAAATGCGATCCAAATAAAAAACACAAAGAAGAAACCCATTCCGTGACCTTCAGCAAGATTCGCAGATTTTCCACAATTTTTAAAATTTCCTGGTGTTCCCGGGTTTTTCTTGGCTCTGACTTGCCTGCTATTCAGCCGTGTTAGGGAAGAACGCCGTATGAACATTCGAGAGTTGTCAAATTTTCCCATCTAAAACATGTATTTTTGACCAAATATATGCATATTTTTCCTTGAAACTTTCAGATATTTCAGATTAAATTGCGTCCCAAATTATGTGAAAATTTCGGGAGGAAAATATTCACAATTTGCCCAGGAAATTCTGTCTTTATCGAAGGAAACCTGGCAACGTCTGAAGGCTCATACGGCGTTCTTCCTTAGCACGGCAGTATTATCATTCATTCTCAGCGGGCTCTGCCCGATCGGTCTTGGACCCTTAAATCCAATAGAAAAGCCATTGGATTGAGATTCCGCTCTCCTCAATGCTACCGCAATAGCGAGTAAGTGCATTTATGTATGAGCCGTCGATAGCACGTGCTTTTATGTGTCTCAAGGCTCATTCCAGAATGCACTCACGGCTTTCTCCGCTTTCCGGAACGAAACGATTCAATCTCATCACCATCAGGGCGATGGCGAGTCCCGCAACCCCGCCTCCCTCCCTCCGCAGCGCGGGAAACTCGACCGAAAACTGGCTGGAATTAGGGAAGGAGGAATTTAGGGAACGAGGTCGCCGCCGAGAGATCCCTTTTCCGCGGGGCTTATCCGCGGTTTCTGCCGAGGGGACGGGTGGGGGAGGGGAGCGCGAACTTTTCCCGGAGCCGAAAACGATGCGGTTATCGATTATTCGTTAACGTCTTTTAGAGCCCTTTCCCCGCGCCCCCCCCCCCCCC